TTTCGTTTCGACTTCGTTTTGCGGTAAAGGCGGAATCGAGACAACAGCGAGGGAAAACGACAACAACACGAAAACGATCAATACCGTTTAGGTTCAGCCCTGTGATGCGGGTTGACCGTACAGAAGGCACGAGACTTGAACCACCGCCCACCCACATCGACGGATCTGTGGCCGAGCGTTCTGCATGCCCAGTCCGTCTCTGCAAGCCCCGTCGGGCCCGAGATCGGGATCTGACTCCCGACTCGGCGTCGCTCGGGCGTGTGTTCTTCGTTCCTCGGTGAGGGCCACGGAGGAGCATCCTGGGCCATCTGGCCAAAGAAGCACGCACGAAACCGACACATGCGCGGGGAATGGGCGTCCGAGCGATGGCAAGCCAATCTCCACAGGAACATACAGGAAGTGTCCTACTTGCTGGCGGGACGGGCTGGGGGAAGGAACGAGAGGAGGAGGAGGAGGAGGAGGACGAGGACGAGGAGGAGCAGGTTGAAGAGGAGGAGGAAGGAAAAGGAGGAGGAAGGAAGAGGAGGAGGAAAGAAGAGGAGGAGGAAGGAGGAGGAGGAAGGAAGGAAAAAGATGGGAGGAGGAGGGGGGAGGAGGAACGGGGTTCAGGAGGAGGGAGGAGGAGGGAGGAGGAGGGAGGGGGAAGGGGGACGCGGGGTCAGTGGGGCGAGGCCCAGCCACCGTCCTGGCGCTTCTTGCACCTGGGGTGGCTGGGCTTCGTCGTCCTTGTGTGGGTGGTCGTCTCGTGGCTGGTTCTGTTCTTGTTTGGGTGGCAGCTCCTGCCACTCGGCGCACCGCGCCCCGCCGCCTCCTCGCAGCAAGGTCTGTCAGGAGGTGTGTGTTGGAGTCGCGGCGTCCCTCGCGTCTCCTCGACCTCCTGCTTCCCAACGCGTTGCGGGAAGGGTCCATGACAGGGGGGTGTCGTCTCCGTCCACGCTGTTCACCAAGTAAATGAGGTCGAAGGGGAACAATGACGTCCGAGCGATGGCGAGATGTGCGCTTGCGCTGTTCAGCGCCACCAGTAGGTCGTTGCGTCGCTCGCGTCGCATCGAACGGTCTCGATGACAGAGCCACATTGGCGCTAGCATCGCGCGTGCCAAGGATCAACGGTAGACTTATAAGTGCCCAGCCGCGCAGGCTGGTCTGCCAGCGCGGAATCAGCAAACCGTGGGACACATGTGCGAGCGAAGTACAGCCGGCAGCGCGAGTGTGAAGTAGGCGCGGATCGAAGACAAGCTTTGTGTGAAGAGAATGATAACCGCACGATAAGAATCACTAGTCGTGTGCATTCATAGTTTCCAGTGTGGTCGCACATCGGGTGATCGTCCGCATTCGTCCATGATGCTTCTCACATCTAGGATGCGCGTTCGTATGCGTCTCGCATCCTGCCGTACGTTTTGTGTGCGTGTTCCTTGTTTTACAACTCCCAACACTCGCCGTTTAGCTGGGCCGAAGGAATCGCCAGCCTGCGCGTCACGAGAACCTACAATCCAGACCTCTTCGGTGGCCGGACAGAGCATTTGAGAATTGTCGTCGGAGGTTTCGGTGCCGTGCGGTTGTGTGTGTCGAACGACAGAGATACACGAATCGCATGCGTCTTCGGAGGCCCGCGCGGATTTCTTGGATCTGCGCTCGGGCCTCTCGGTGGAGACCCCTTGCCTTGGGGCCACGGGGCGCGCAGGGAGGAGGAGGAGGGAGGAAAGGAGATCACCAGGAGATCACCACTGGGGACCCGTGTCCCGTCCTTCCTCAGCCCTGGCCGCGAGGAGCACGAGCCTCGCGCCAGGACGATCCGATCGGGAGCCCAGGACGCCGAAGGAGCACGAGCCTTCGCATCCAGGGGCCTCCAAACAGTGCTTGCGGCGCCCCACGGCGCCAGGACAGCCCCCACGGGACGCGCAGTAATCTTCGCACCACGCGCCGCCCCCAAGGGGCAAAGGGGTCCACAGCAGCACGACTACCCGCGGACCCCGCACCGACTGGCCGCAGGCTCATCGGTTGTACTCCCACCGCTGCACATCGGCCTCCTTGAGGTCGCAGCCGTGGTGATCAGCGAGTGCCAACCTTGCCGAGCCTGGCTTGATGAAGGAAAGCCTCGCTGACATACTTCTTCATCTGCTCCTGGGAGAGGTTGCCGCCATACTGAGCGAGGATTGCAGCCACGAGGCCCTGCGGACGACCAGGCTCTATCGCGTCCAGCTTCACGACCTGCCCCTCAGCGTCCTTCAGCACCTCCCCAGGCTTCTGGGAGTCGTTCGCCCCCGTGTATGAACGAGTGTTCTCCAGGACCTGAACGTCTCTGTCGCTATTGTTCGAGCCCTTGATCTGCGTGTCCGAGATGTCGAACGACGCGTAGTCCACTGGCGTGGAAGGTGGCATCTCGCACACAGGGACCAGCATCAGCGGGTCCGAGATGTCGAACGAGTCCAGGCCAGAAGGAACCGACCGCGTCTTGATATCCACCGAGGCCAAGGTGGGGAGGACGTCGGCGCAGGAGTCAGGCGGGAGCTTCTTCTTGACCTTCTTTTTCTTCTTCTTTTCCTTCAGAACCGAGCGGGCCTGGACGGGCGAGTGCTCCAGCTCGCCTAGCTTGACAGTGGAGGCGGAACCCACAACCTCAACATTCATGTCGAAGTTCTCCAAGCTCTGTGACACCATGTCCGACCCGCTTTCCGTTGACGCCTCGGTGACGCCACACTCCAAAATCATCTCCTCACCGTCCTGCACGAACTCCTCCTCCTTGGGCCCCATCTCCTTGAGGTCGACTCCAGACTTGTCCAGGGTGCTGATCGCCCTAATGACCCGCTCCGCGACCCCTGAGGACGGGTGTCCACAGGCGCGGCGCCCTGCACGGAAGTCGACCCACTCCTTGGCCAAAGACTTCTGGCCAGCCTGCACGAGGAGCTTCCTGACGTCCTCGCCCGTGGCCTTCCGCTCCAGGCCGAGGGACTGACCAGCTTCGTCCAGCACCCCCTCGAACTTGGCGAGGACCCCGCAGGCAGGACAGCCAGCGTCCGAAGCCGCGGGCTGGGCCGAGATGGCCTCGCGGCTCGCCGTCTCGACCGCCACTCGGAAGAGCCACTCCTTGCAGCCTCTCCGGATCTTCACCGCCTCGATCGCCTCGAGCACTGCCTGGAAAGCAAGCGCCTTGCTGCTCCCCATCCCAGCGCTCGAGGACACCGGTACCATCTCGGAAACACGAAACCTGCGAAACAGGGGCCCGCAACCTTGAGCCAAAATGGCTACGGAGAAGGGAGGAAAGGAGAGGAGAGGAGAGGGGGAGGAGGACGAGGAGGAGGAGGGGCGAGGGGGAGGAGGAGAGGAGGGGGGGAGGAGGACGAGGAGGAGGAGGAAGGAAAGGAGAGGAGAGGAGAGGAGCGGGGACGCGGGGCGCTGTCTCCCCGAAAAAACGAGAACCCAACACCACAGGGCGGCCGGGACAAACACGGCGCCGGAGCGGGCAGCGAGAAAGGCAGGACGGCATCGGCCCCAGGCACGGCCCTATCGTTCCCAGGGCCCGCTGGGCCGGAGGAGGAGGAGGGGGAGGGGGAGGAGGGGGAGGGGGACGAGGAGGGGGTGGAGGACGAGGAAGAGGGGAGGAGGAGGAGGAGGAGGAGGAGGAGGAGGAGGAGGAGGAGGAGGAGGAGGAGCCGCGCCTGCCTTCACCCCCGCGGGGCGGCCTCCAGGCGGCCAGCCCCCCGTGGGACCCCAGGCAGCACGCCCCCGCGCGCGGCGGCAGCGCTCGCGGGCGGCCCCCTCGCCCCGCGGCCTGAGCGCGAAAGCGAGGCGGGGGGGGGCAGCCACGAGCGGGCGAATGACGGCAGGCCGAAGGTCGGGAATTGGAACGTATACATTACCCGTGGCGGGTTGTTTTGTCCAATCCGAGCAGTTTTTGAGGGTCGGGGGCGACGTCGGGGCGGTGTGTGGTGTATACTTGTATCAGTCGTTCCGCGTGGAAACAACGAAAAATGTATATACGCCAGGATCCCGTACACACCAGGATCCGCTCCTCTGAGCGAGCTTCAGTGCAGGACCAGAAGACGAGTCGGTGTATACAGTTCGGTTCCCTAAATATCGGTATGACACATGATTCGTTTGCTGTCACACAGAGCGCTTGCCCCAGGGCGGCTGGGAAGTTCCTACCCTGACGTGCCGCCGCCGGGCGAACTATCAACTCCCGAGCCGCCCTGGGACGGGCGTCCTCGACGGCGAGACAGTGTTATTCTATGCCGGTCTGCGCCCGCCAGCCCGGCGCGCTCGCGCCGCGTCGGACCTCCGACTCCTCTTCCTCTCGGCGGCCATCGGCGGCGGCGAGGGGGAGGGGGGAAGTTCGAGGTTCTGGGGCGTTTTCGTCGCTGCTCGGCGGCCTGCAGCCTCGGGGTGCGTTTGCCAGCGGCGGCGCCTCGCCGAGGGCGTTCTGGAGGTGCCCGGATCGTCCCAGTCAGCCGCCGGAGACCAGAGCTACGACCCGAAAGCCACATTCGGCGGCGCGCCCCTGGGGCAGAAAGAAAAGGTTTTCTCTGAAGGCGGCGGGGTTTCTCAGAAGGCCTCCAGCCTTCTGAGACACTTTGTGCGTCTTCGAGGAAGGCCTCGAAACTTCTCAGAAGGCCGGGGACTTCCGAACCTTCTGAGAAGGCCTTCTCTTCTCACTCCCCCCCCTCGCTCGCCGCCGACATTCGAGTAGGGGATTGACTACAGCATTGATTACCCCAGACTATTTTCTCGTCGACCCAAAACAAAAACGTAGACTGTGTCTCAGGGCTCGTTTCGATTTCTCCGAATCGGTTTTCGCTGGTTTTCCGAGTCCGATTCGATTCGACTTGGGAGTCCGGCCCGGATTCTTAGTTGTCACTGGAGGCCGTGCCAGTCTGTCGATGGCCGCCGCTTCAACTCCTCCCGACTTGACTGCCGATGTCCGTCGACCCGATTATTTTGGATCGCCGCTCCGACTTGTCGATTCCATCTTGGGCTCTCCTGCATCCGAATCCTCTCCTTCCTCTGTGTAGACTGACGTCGGCCTGTTCCCTCTGCACGAGGCATATGCAAGAAGAGTCAAAAAATAGTCCCGGGACGAACTTGCTATTCTTTTTCATGGTTTCTGTTGGAGATGTTTTGACCATTGTTGTTTTTCTCTCAGAATCCGCCTTTGGGAGGACATGCCCGACCAAAGCGTATACATGCTGACGCGTGCGCGTGGCCGGCTTTTTCTGGAGAGGGAAGGTGTTTTGCCAGCTGTGGCGATTCGTGCCCGTCGTCGTCGTCGTCGTCGTCGTCGCCCTCCCTCCGCGGCGAGCGAGGGGGAAACGAGAAGGAGAAACCATTCTCAGAAGCCCGCGCGCCTTCTGAGAAGGTTTTCCCTGTCTTCGGGGATGGCTTAGAAAGCTTAACAGAAGGCCGGGGGACTTCCGAACCTTCTGAGAAGGCCTTCTCCTTTTCAATTCCCCACCCTCGCTCGCCGCCGACTCCCTCTTGCGCGAGCTTTCACGCTCATGAATCACACAGGGATCCAGAGTCCATCCCGAGCTTGTTGGACATCCGACCCCTCCCACCCATCTTGGAGCCAGATGGGGTCTGAGGTGGCCAAGCACCGGCTGCGGCCAGCAGGAGGCAGGGGGGGGGGGCGATCGGGACAAGTGTCTGCCTTTTTTTTGGTCTCCGGTGGCCGCTCTCAGGGCCCAGGCTGGTCACAAACGGATCTGGGTGACACATTGGAGGCTTCTTGCCACAGATTGCACACCACTGACGACGTGGGGATGTTTCGCCACAGATCGGGCGAAAAAAAATTAGGTGGACCTTGGGAGGTGTCTGGGGGCCGATGTCGAACGGATTTGTGGCCGACCCCCCGCGTGACGATTTTTTCTGGGGCCCCGACCAAGTCAGACCCCCAGGCCGCCTCCAGCTCCCATCCCTTCCCACCGCGTTGACTTGTTCTCTACAGTGAGCGGCTTGAATAAGGAACGCTTACTTTTCAAAAGGGGTTCGGTCGTTCCTTAATTTTATATGCGTTATCTACAGTTCCTTATGTGTTATCTATGATTTGTCGTTCCTTATGCGTTATTCCTTGGGATAAAAAGGGGCTTCGTTCCTTATGTATCGTTCCTTAGGTCAGGCCGATGACTGTACCCGCAGACGGGCCTGATGCGCAAGCAGAAATGGAGGGTGCGCACATTGGAGGAGGAGGTGGCGGACGAGCAGGAGGATGAGCCAGAGGATGGGTTGCGGACCCCAAGAGCATACACCACCACGCATTCCTCCTCCCTCCTCAACCCTCATCATCATGTCCTCTTTCCCGGGAGAGGGAGGGGATGAGTGAGGTGGTTGTGTTCTATATTGGTGGGCCCCGCGTGAGTAGGAGGATGAGGAAGCAGAAGGGCGAGGGCGAACAAGAGCAGCAGGAGCTAGAGCGGAAGGAGCGGGAGGAGCAGCATGGCCACGGGAAGGCGGAGGAGGGTAAAGGAGGGGGGGCGACAACGATGATGAAGGGCTCGGATCTAGAAAAGTACTCCGAGGTTCTTAAGAAGCGCCAGGGGGGCGTCACCCCCGCCGACAGCCCCACGTCGATCCCCGTCGCGGGCAGCCGCCGCGCGCCGATTGCGCTCCGACACCCGTCGTAGAGCCACGACGATGCGAGGTGGACTCCCGTCGGGGGGTACCCCCCCACTCTTATTAAGAAACCCAGAGTTGCCCAAGCTCGGGCCAGAGTGCCAATCTGAACGACGTGGGCAAGGCGCCGATCCTAAAATGAGGCTCGCGCCGCAGCGGCAGCACTGTTCTGAAGCACAGAGAATGGAATGGCCGATTGTAGAAACGAATGTAGGAGCTTGGAATCCACTGCCCCTCTGTTATGAGGCTTTTGTATAGGAGAGGGAACAGAGGACAGAGTGTTTACACAGTTTTGAGGAATTAGTGAGTTCAGCATGGGTCCGGCTTGAAGTGCCTCGAAGAAAGCGCGCACCCGAATCGCAGACATATGGCTATATGCGGACCCGGGACACTTTGCTTCCCGTCGTCGTCCTCGCCCTTGCTCCGTTCCCCTTCCTTTCTTCCCTCCCCTGGATGGTGTCGAAGGCGTTCGCGGCTCGGACGGGGGAGCGCCCCTTCCGACCTCCCTTATTACTCCTCGTTCCCCTTTGCCTCCCTGCTCCACCGTCCGTCGTCCTACCTCGCCCACCCTCCTTGTTCGAAAAGTGACGTCCCTGGTGCCGCGTGCCCGCGTCAGCGGTAAATGCCTTTTCGATATCCGAGCACAGCGGCGCAACCAAACAGAGGGGATTGCCAATGCGAGAGTTCGGGGCGCACCAAAAATGCGGGCGGCACGGCCGCCGAGCACAGTCGCATCGCTAACATTTAAATTAGAGGTGCCTGCGGCAAGGTCCGCCCCCCCTGCCAGAGCAGTGGTCTATTTGGCGACGCGTGGAGCTTTGACTGTTAAGAGGTCCATGACATGTGACATCTCTCGTGTTTTCGGAGTGCTGCGCGGCATTCTGTGGGGTCCTTCGAGGCCTTTTGGGGCGTCTTCGGGCCGTTGGGGGCCGCTTTGGCGCCGCGTTACACCGCGGCCGCCCTGGGCCAAAAAAACGTGTATTTGCGGTTCTTTCGGGGGCGCCCTGGGCTGGGGAAGTGTGTATTCGCATTCCCCCCCAGCTGGGCATGTCGACCTCGGTTCTGGGCTGGCAAAGTCGGGGCGCCCTCGAGGTGGCGAGCGTTTACCTTTTTTTTTTTCTCTCGAAATACGCAGATCAGGGTGTGATCTGTGTACACCGTTTGTGTCTTCAACTGTGCATTTTCGTGTGTGGGCCCGCTGTGTACGCAGATCGTGGTGTGATCTGTGTACACATATTTCGTTCCCACCTGTGTATTTGGAGTGTGTCCCTCGCGGGTGGTGTTGAATGGGCGAGATCTTTCGCGTTTCTCTTCCGGCTGGTCCAGGGGGGACGTCGTGCGCGGTCGAAATACACAATTCGTGTCTCCAACCGTGCATTTGTTGCGCGCCGTTCTCAGGGGTGGTCTCTGGGCGGGAGTTTCCGCGGGTCTCCCGGCTGGTCCAGGAGGGGGCCGTGGTCTGGGCATGCAAAGGCGCGGGGGGTGGGGATGGCGGGCTGTGGGAAGGAAGGGGTTCGATAGGAGGGGTGGCCGAGGGGCCAAAGATGAACGGGACTGGACGAGAGCGGAGGAAATGAACCCAGGAGGATCTGCATCATCGGCGTCAGCATCACGAGGGCGAGGGAGGCGGGGGGGGGCAGAAACTGGGGGCATTATGTGCATTAGGGCGTAGAGGATGGGAGGAGGGCAGGCATGTGGACGATGGGGGAACGAATCCGTCGCAGGAGGACGACGAGGAACGACGTGAATTGGCACATGGGGGAGAGTAGTGTGGATGAAGGGCATGATGAGGACCGGGGCAATCGGAAGGGCATGAGAGGGGGCGGGGCCACAGCGAAGGGATATTTGGAAGAGGCGGGGGGTGGGGCACGAGTTCGAGGCGGGCGCCTGCTAACGATTAGCTGAACAGTGTTTTGCGTGTCCGTGCACCCCCAAAACACAGTGATTGGTTGCAGAATTTCATGATATGGGTAATCGTGCGCTTCGTGTTCCCAGGCCAAAGGCTCGAGTCCGCGACGCCCCTTGGCGTCGCAATGATGCCGCCCCGAATTGCCAGACCACATATGCACAGATACGCATAATATCTGTTGCAACGTTTGTTTCAGGACCTTCTCTATACTAACAGACCCACGTTGGAATCCAAGTATGAGCGATGAATTTATGAAATACGTCCGTGCCCCCAGAGCTCCCCCCGGGGCGATGGGGCCAGCAGACCATGACTTCCTGGACCGTTTGGCCCGTCTTCCTGCGGCTGTCCCCCCGCAGGCGGTGCACGGGCACACCCGCTGATTTCACTATCTTTGAGGCTGTTAGCGGCGACCGCCATCCACGGTACGGCCTGGCCATCGGCGCTCTCTCCAGGGGCGCGGGCGCCAGGGGATGTATCGCTGGCTTCTCCGAGCTGCCTGGCCCGTCCACCCTCCTGCGGCTGTCCCCCCGCAGGCGGTGCACGGGCCCACCCACTGTACTACTCGCTCTTCGCTTGTTAGCTGCGACCGCCACCCGCTGTACGTCCGTGGCCCTCGGCGGTCCCCCCGGGGCGCTGGGACCAGCAGGCCATGAACTTCCTGGACCGTCTGGCCCGTCCTCTTCCTGCGGCTGTCCCCCCGCAGGAGGTGCACGGACACGCCTACTGACTTCACTACCTCTGCAGCTGTTAGCTGCGACCGCCACCCACCGTACGGCCTGGCCCTCGGCCGTCGGCGCTCCCTCCAGGGGCGCGGGCGCCAAGCGATTTATCGCTGGCCTCTCCGAGTTGTCTGGCCCGTCCACCCCCTCTGCGGCTGTCCCCCCGCAGGCGGTGCACGGGCCCACCCACTGTACTACTCGCTCTTCGCTTGTTAGCTGCGACCGCCACCCACTGTACGTCCGTGGCCCTCGGCGCTCCCCCCGGGGCGCTGGGGCCAGCAGGCCATGAACTTCCTGGACCGTCTGGCCCGTCCTCCTCCTGCGGCTGCCCCCCCGCAGGAGGTGCACGGGCACGCCTACTGACTTCACCACCTCTGCGGTTGTTAGCTGCGACCGCCACCCACAGTACGGTTTTGGCCCTCGGCGCTCCCTCCAGGGGCGTGGGCGCCATGAGATATACCGATGGCCTATCCGAGCTGCCTGGCCCGTCCATCCTCCTGCGGCTGCCTTCCCGCAGGAGGTGCACGGGCTTACCCATTGTTAGCTCCTGCGGCTGTTAGCTGCGACCGCCACCCACAGCGCGTACGTGGCCCCCCGCGCGCCCTCCGTGACAGCGGGACCAGTGCCAGCTGACACCTGGGCCTCTACCTGCGGCTGTCTCCCCGCGGGAGGTGCTCTGGTCAGCACAGTGCAACCTTGGCCTGCACCCGTCGCTCTTCGCTGGTTCCGTTCGGTGGCCATGGTCCGTGGTACGCCGACTGGTTGGACGGCACGCATTTCCGACTGATGTAGGACGGCCCACCGGACCCGGTGGTGACATGAAGTCCGCTGAGGAGGAGAAGGCCGCTGTGGACAAGTTTGCTGAGGGCCACTCCTTGCGTGCTGGTAGCTCGTCGCGTCTGTATCTGGCCGCGGCAGTTAGGCTTACTTGACCCTTGTGACGGCGCGCGGTTCATGCATTTGCGCTTCGTTCTTTTCCGCCGCCCGACTTGCCTCGCCGCGGTCGCGATCAAGAAGTATCCTCCCCATCAGCCCATCCAGAAACAGATCGCCAGGCAAGTTGCTTTGATCAGGGAAGCGCAGAAGCATGCAGCGTAACAACCGCATAGGGAGAGAATTGTCACGGAGGCGTCTTGGAGCCATCTTGGGTCTTTCTTGGGGTCCTCGCGAAGCCACTAAGGGTACCCTTGGGGCCTTCTTCAGGTTCTTTTGGGGGGTCTAGGGGCCTTCTTGTGGCTTTTTGGGGGGGTCTGGGAGGCTTCTCGGGGCAATTTTAAAGGGTGGGTCCTACATTCAGCCCGACCCCCTGGGGAGGTCCAGAAATTGCGTCGAGGGGCCGTCTTGGGGCGTTTTTGGGGCGCTCGTGGGCACTCTCGGGGCCCTCTTCGGCCCCTTTCTGGGGGCTCTCCTGGGCCGTCCTGGGCCGTCGTAAGTCCCCAAGAGCCCATGGGAAGCGAAAGGGCGAGAAGGCAACAAACAGGAATTTCCTTCCAGTGTTGGGGCTAGTTTGGCCTCTTGGGGGGGTCCCTGGAGGGCTCGGAGGGCACTTGAAACCGTTTGGGGGCCGTCTTGACGCCTTTTTGATGTTAGGGGCTACTTGAGCCATTTCGAGGTGCATTCAGCCATCTTGAAGGCCACCGTAGGCTCTCTGCGGCCCTCTGAGAGCCATCGTGGGCCATCTTGGACGCTCGACCCCCTCGCCCCCTCCTTCCCAGGCCCAAGGGGGGGTGGGGTAGGCGGAGGGGTAAGCCCGTCCCCGGGCAGTGGAAGCAGGGGTTTCGGCAAAGAGAGAGAGAGAGAGAGGGAAAACTCAAATTCCGTTAGGACACCTACACGCAAGGGACCGGTGGGACTCGCAGGCAGAAGTCATGGCACATGGTTCTAAGGGTTGCCCGTCACGAGCACAGAAGATATCATAAGATGGGTCCCAGGAGCAATACACTGGCATCCGTGGGATCACCGACGACACCGCTGTGAACGACAGCGAGGCGGACAACGCAAGCGCAGGGACGACGACGTAGCCACAGACTTTAACCACCGATTTCTAGCATCGCAGACCCGACCTTGACCTGCGCACAGCTTTCACACCAAGCACCGCAAGAGGCCAACGTCAAGACACCACCTGGGTTCAATCAGTTCAGGACGAACGCGCGCGGTCGACCCCCAGACACCACTACACCCACGACACATGACAACACGCCATCCCGAAGGCATCTACAACCGGGACGTCATCACCCCTGTTATCCCGTGGTGTGTATTTGCTGATTATGAATGTGGGTGTGTAGTACGATGCGTACTTATTTCGACCAAGAGGCCATGGCCTGGCCCACCTGTCTCAGCCAAGTCCACACGAGCGTTCGCAGCGGTAGTTTGTCCGTTCGTCCTAACTTCCTCCACACCCGTTTTCCTCATACTTCCGTTCATGCTTATTTCTTTTTTCACCTGCCTCCCTCCTCTTTGTCCTCATGCATGCTTCAGTCCTCGCATTCCTTCCTTTTTCCTCCATTCCTCAAGCCTCCCTCCGCCTCCTTCGTCACATGCTTCAGTCCTCCCAATCACCTCCGCCGCCTTTTCTGCTCCACCTCTGTCATCGACGCTGGGGTATCGGGGATGACTGCAAACATCTTTCGGGTTCAGAACTCCAACCAGCGTTTCAGAATTATGAGTTTCAGGGTCGGGGGTCACACGTGCTGTGCCTGGCCATGTTCGCCCGATGGCAGGTGTGGTGGGAGGAAATTCGAAGTCGCACAGGTGGAGCGACCCCCCTCAAAGCCAGGACTTCTTCCGGGCCCATCTGGCTGGCAGCCGCAGGACGACCAACCTGGAAGTGCCACAGGTCGGTGGCGGTCTCGGGTCCTCTCGGGAGACCCCCCCCCCGGGGCCCAGCGGTGTCTCTGGCCACGTGGCACCGACGACCGCCCCGTGATGCCCGCGGGGGGCGGGTCGCCGCGGCGGGGCCCGCGGCCCTGTTCTTTGTCGAGGCTCCAGCGACGGGGGTCAGGGCAAGCCGGGCCAGCGGGGGTCAGTCATAGCGCCAGATCCCTTGCAGAAGCCTGGAGGGCCAGCGGTGCAGTGACCCGGGCTTGGGTGCAGGATGATGCAGGGTGTTGCAAGGCTCGATTGGCCCGGGCTTGCATTGACCCGGGACAGGACATCCCCGATGTTGACCCGTCTCTTTCGTTGATGATGATGATGATGATGATGATGATGATGATGATGATGATGATGATGATGATGATGATGGTGGTCATGGTGGTCATGGTCATGGTCATGGTCATGGTCATGGTCATGGTCATGGTCATGGTCATGGTCATGGTCATGGTCATGGTCATGGTCATGGTCATGGTCATGGTCATGGTGATGGTGATGGTGATGGTGATGGTGATGGTGATGGTGATGATGGATGCACTGTTCCTGCTGAAGTTGTGATTCTTCGTGACACGGGTCTGTTTTGGCCCCTTGGGACTCTGCCAATTTGGGAGTGGCTCTGCCAACACGGGCTGAGCTTCGGTCAGCACGTCCCCGATCCTGCCCCGCCCCCTTCCCAGACCTGCTGGCGCCGTGCACAAAAAGAAACACATCAGGGCGGGCTCCCAGGGCCTTCGCCGCGCCCAGGGCCCCTCCACGCACGGCTCGCGACGAGGAGCCCGCCCCCCCGAGGAAGGGGGGCCGTGGCTTCCTGGGGCGCCCTGTGGGAGAAGTCACGGCATGGCGTGCCTGTCTCGACGACACGCACGGAGTGGGTCACACGATGGCGCCGCACACGCTCTCCGAGCGACGGAAAAAAGGGATCGTCTTCACCGGCATTGGCGCGTGAGCGCCTCCGTGAGGGAAAAAAACGGGATCGTCTTCACCGGAGGGAAAAAAGGGATCGTCCCGCGTGAGCGCCTCCGTCTCCAATGTGGCGTGCCACGATGGCGGCACGCGTAAGCTCTGGCGCAAGGTCGCTGTGTCATCTCGCGCAAGACCCGTTTTTGATCGTCGTTCATGTAGTGTTGATGGGGTGCGGGCGCTTGCCTGTCGGATGGGTCTTCGCGTTCGCTCGAGCGTATGCTTCGCCAACGCGCTGTAGGGCGTATGGTAGACCGCCTCCTTCACGGCGCCCTCCTTCACAGCGGTTGTGCGCGAGCGCAAGACCGCGATGTTCTGATTTGCGGTTGCCCCGCCAGGCGGTGCCGCTGGCACGCGCATCGACGTGCCCGCCACGAGTTTCGTGGTGGTGACGGCGGAGAGGCATGGAGCGCGCACGGCTGGCCAGCGGGACCACGCGGGGCCCGCGGCCTTGGTCGATTTTGGTTCTAGATCTCGAGTCTGCACGTCGGTCGATGTCGATGGATTCCCGCGCAGGCTGCAGGGCCCATTGCGATCGACCTCGGCTGGCTCCATCCCATGCCGATGCGCATCTCGACGCTCGCGTGCTGAGGTTGGGCGTTCCGGCGCGGCCGATCCTGTTCGTCGTCTCCGCTCTTCCTTGCGGACACGCGGCCCGATGCGAAGCGCGCTCCGATGCGATAGGATGCCCAGGTTCAAGAAGGATTCTCGGAGGTGGATAGACCTCCTACCCTGACACGTCGATTCGTGAATTGTCCGTTTTCGGTTCTCGAGAGAGCGCCGCAGCCGTTATTTTCCAGGCTCGCGCCCGCCAGGTTTGGGCCCGAGGTCGTTTTCACTAAACCACGTTTTACTAAAGGGAGGTCTGTCCATCCCCGAGATTCATCGGGCCGCGATGAATGGCGTGTTTCGTACGCCGCGCCCCTCCCACCTTCCCCATCCCACTGCCCCTCCCCCCGTCCCCCCCCCCTCCCATCCCACTGCCCCTCCCCCCTTCCCCCCTCCCTCCTTGTCGCCCCCCCCCCTCCCCGTCCCCACCCCTCCATACCGTCCCCTGCCCCCATGATGACGGTACAGGGGCCAAGGTAAACAAAAGGAAGAAGATGACGCCAGCTGAGTGCAGACGCTCACATGGACACGAAAAGCAGCTTCATGGGATATCGAAAGACCGCCGGCCGAGGCCATCATCTTTTCCGTTTGATCTGGGCGGTGGGTTTTGGATCCGGGTGAGCCCCACATATCAGGGGAGGGCCACTTGAGGCAACGGTAGATGGCCTTCGGGAGGGCCCCCCTCGCGACTGCTCGGAAGATTGGTGGGTTTGGGCCCCCGGACGAGTCTGGGGCTTTGTGGGCCCCGGAAACGGCAGGGCCGTTTTTCACCGTTTCCAAAAAAATGTCCCTTGAAAATGGAAACTGCAAAAAAACGGCGACCGGAAACGGCAAAAAAACGGCTCCAGGATTGGAACCGGAGCCGGAACCGGTCAAAAAACGGCGACGGAACCGTTAAAACAAACGGCGTCGGAAGGCCCGCTGCGGTCTACGGATCGATTTTAAGTTGCCGCTGTCTCAACTCCCCCCGCTCCGAACATGAGCCCTGGCCACGGGGTCCCAGCCACGGTCGGCGACCGACGTCGGATCTGTGGACCCCCGCCGCTGCCGCCCGCGCTGGGCGACAGGTGTAGCAGGACGTGGAGGAGGAAGAAATCAGCTCCACTGTGTGGTCCTCCTCCTCCTCCTCCTCCACCTCCTCCTCCTCCTCCTCCTCCTCCTCCTCCTCCTCCTCCTCCTCCTCCTCCTCCTCCTCCTCCTCCTCCATGGGAGCCTCAACGAGTCCCCCAACTCCTTGCGGTGGCGGTTGATCTTGCTTGGATGTCGTCGCATTTGGTGGAGCAAGAAATACAGTGAGCGGCTTGAATAAGGAACAGTTACTTTTCAAAAGGGGCTCGGTCGTTCCTTAGATTTGACATGCGTCATGTACAGTTCCTTATGCGTTGTTTTTGTTATTGATCGTTCCTTCTGCGTTTTTCATTGGGATGAAAAAGGAGCTTCGTTCCTTATTTATCGTTCCTTAGATCAGGCCGATGGCTGTAAGCTCCACTGTGTGGTCCTTCATGGGAGCCTCAAAGAGTCCCCCAATTCCTTGCGGCGGCGGGTGATCTTGCTCGGATGTCGTCGCATTCGGTGGACATCTGGACGAGCGGGTGGAGAGGGACAGTCGACATCCGGACGACAGCCCGTCGAAGTCACGTTCCTGACGAGGCCGCGGAGGTCCACAGAGGCTCCCGCGAGGGCCCACGCAGGACCCCAGGTGCCAGAGAACTCTGCCCATGCCGCCGCTCTGGCCCCCCTCGTGGGGCCGGGGCGTGCTTAGGGCCATGTGGACAACGTGTCGATCGCCCAGGAAGCTCCGGGCCACCGGGCTTCTCCTCCTCCTCCTCCTCCTCCTCCTCCTCCTCCTCCTCCTCCTCCTCCTCCTCCTCCTCCTCCTCCTCCTCCTCCTCTCGGGGCTCAAGGGACGGGGGCCAGAGCGCCGGATCTCGCAGGATCCTGCAGGGCCATGGGCTGCACTGGCCCGGGCTTGGGTGCAGGGTCCCGCAGGAGCCTGCAGGTGGCTGCAGGATCCCACAGAGCCCGACTGCCCCGGGTCTGGTGGGACCCGTGCCAGCAGGGCCCGGGCCATCGAGGCCGGGCCGCAGGGCCCCGCCCGCGGGTTGTCCCTGGGCTGCACCCCCGGACCCTGTCTCGCGCGGCGAAGATACCCCGGCGGAGCAGGGCGGCAGGGCAGCAGGGCAGCAGTGTCCCACGCGAGCACGCGCGGCCCGCAGAGTGCAGCAGCAGAGGCGAGGAGGCGGGGCGAGGACAGGCGCGAGAGCGGCTCCTATAGAGGAGAATAGCAGGGGCGAGGAGGCGGGTCGAGGACAGGCGTGAGAGCAAGACCATGTGCACCTTAGCTTTCTTCTGCACGAGGGACCATGGCCATCTAGCATGGAGACGAGAGCACGACCCTTTCACTCGAAGAACAAAACAGGCCATGAACAAAAGCGTCCGGCGTTCCGCGCGGATTTGTTGGACCCTCGCTGGGCCACCCCCGGCGGCGCCTCCGGCGCCGCCTCTGGCGCGCTCCTCGCGCCAGGGAGGGGGGGGGGCAGCGCGGATGCAAGAAATCCGCGCGGAGCGCCGACAGTCAATGTTTGTGCCGTTTTCTTGTTCTCTTCTTGCACTGCGAGAAAGTCTCCGGCGAGGCGGCCGCCAGACCGCGCTGTCACTGTCCAGCAATGGCGAGGGCGGAGGCGGCGTCCGGTCAACATGCCCTGTTGTAGAGGATCGGAAGCTCGGGGCTACCCCCCGGGGGGGCTAACGGGACGCACTCCGATCGAACATCGTCGTCCACCCCCGAGGTTTGCCCAAAGTGTTTTTGGCCTCTTCGAAAGCCCCACGAAGTCGGGCGCAGTGGTCGTCAGCTCGTCTCCCCCCTTGCACAGCGGGGAGAGCCCTCCTCCTCCCCTTCCTCTCCCTCCTCCTCCTCCTCCTCCTCCTCCTCCTCCTCCTCCTCCTCCTCCTCCTCCTCCGCACAGCGGGGAGGGGAGCGCCCCGCGCGACCCTCCCGGAGGACCCCGTGCCCGCCGGCGGTCCGACGGCGCTCCGGCTCCTGAGCGGCCGTCGCGGGCGGCCGGCCGCTCGCTCGCCACGGGGCCCACGGGGTCCTGAGCCGGTCGGGCCCTGACGTCCTCCTCCTCCTCCTCCTCCTCCTCCTCCTCCTCCTCCTCCTCCTCCTCCTCCTCCTCCTCCTCCTCCTCCTCCTCCTCCTCCTCCTCCTCCTCCTCCCCCTCCTCCCCCCCCCCTCCTCCTCCTCCTCCTCCTCCTCCTCCTCCTCCTCCTCCTCCTCCTCTCCTCCTCCTCCTCCTCCTCCTCCTCCTCCTCCTCCTCCTCCTCCTCCTCCTCCTCCTCCTCCTCCTCCTCCTCCTACTCGCCACGGAGCCCACGGGGTCCTGAGACCGTCGGGCCTTGGCGTGCTCGGCCGTGTGCGGATCCCGGGGCCCCTCCGTCGGAGTCGTCCCCAAACCCTGACCTCCTCGCGCCGCGAAAAAAAATCACGGCGGGAGGTTTTTCGCTATTTTCGGCCTCCGGGGGCCCTCACCGGGCCTCGGAGCCGTCAGAAAACTACTCAGGATGAAGAACCGGTCCCGGGGAAAGGGCCCAGACCTCTGGGGCTCGACGTTGTGAAAAAATCACGACGTCGGAGGTATGGGAAGGGGGGCGGGCACCATGAGATCTCCCCGGATTTCCCGCCCCCCCCTCCTGTTCCCAAGTGTCCCCCAGTAGTGACCCGCCGCTCACGCGCCTCGGACCATGATTTGCAAACCCCCTCTTGAAGCGCTCCCCTCCTGAACCCCCCGATTCCACGGGCGCCGGGACTGCCAGAAAACGAGCCGCATCGCGGATACATCGGCGATGCGGCCCGATGCGGAGCCCGATTTTCTCCACGCCGACGGCACCAATGCATCGCCGATGTCACCGACGCATCGTCGACGCGGCGGGAGCCTTCGATTTGGGAGGCCTCCATTGTCGGAAAACGGCTCGGACTGAGGAGCTGGACCTTGTGTGGTCCTTCATGGGAGCCTCAGAGGGTCTTAGAATTTCGCGCGGTTTCTTAGATTCTACAGGCTTACGCCACATCCGCCGACCCCTTCTGTGACTGTTGCGAGGCCAGGAGTTTCTGACCAGCGGCGTCTTGTGTGAGGGTGCGGTGTCGCGCGCGGGTGGTGGCAGATACTTAGGGGGTCCAAATGTTTCGTGATGCCGGTGGTCTGGGGCGTGTTTTGCGAGCGCCTTGCGTGCTGTGCACATGGGTGCGGGGTGTCCTTCTGGGAGGTCGGCCTTTCGACCCGCAACCAAGTGGAGGACCACCGGAAGACGAAAGGAGCAAGAGTAGCGTGCGGAAGCTGTGATCAGCGAACCATCACCGCGAAAGATGTGGCAGATGAGTCGAAACGGGTGAAGAGGCTGTTGACGTTCGCAGCGCGCACGAAACAGTTCGCGTGGCAGCAGCACATTAGCGCCGAGCGAGATTGTGAGCGCGTCGCGAGGAAGAGCAAGGCTGCATGCGCGGAGTGCATTGCAGTTGGCTCGACGGCTCGCAATGCGGAAGCGTCTGGGGGTCTCTTGGAGGTTTCCTGGGGGCCTCTTGGGGGCTCCTTGGGGCGTCTTGGCTGCCTCTTGGGGGCCTCTGGCGGCCACTTGGGGCACTCTTGGGGCCCCCTGGGGCTCGTGGGGGCGGAAAGCTAGATTTTTGAATTTTTGGTCATCCTCTTGGGCCCCTCTTGGTGCCGTCTTGGAGCCTTCTTGGGCCGTCTTGGGGACCTCTTGGGCCGTCTTGGGGCCATTTTGGGCCGTCGTGGGGCCGTCTTCGGAGCCTCTTGGGCCGTCTTTGGGCGGTCTTCCGGGCCTCTTGGGCCGCCTTGGAGCGTCGGCAAACCCACGAGGCGAATTTGTGAAACCTATACGTTTTACGAAAGGAAATGAGCAATTTTCTGCGTCTGGGGACCCTCTTGGGACGCATCTTAGAGGCCCCTTGGGGGCGTCTTGGGCCAGCTGGAGGCCATCCCGGGTGTCTACGATCGCTCCTGGACCGTGTGGGACCATGTTGAGCTCTCTGGGAAGCCACTCGGAGCGCTCCTGGAGCGCCTTTGGGGCCGTCATCGGGGCTCTCTTGGGCCGTCTTCGGCGCCTCTTGAGCCGTCTTGGCGCCCTCTTGGGCTGTCTTGGGGCCCTCTTGGAAGCTTCTTGAACCGTTTTGGTGCGGTCTTGGGGGCCTCTTGGACCGTCTGGGAGCGTCGGAAAGCCCAAAAGGCGAATTTGTGAAAAAATACGTCTTACGAGGGGAACGGGCCAACTTTTTGCATCTAGAGGCCCCCTTGGGGCGCATCTTGGATGCATCTTGGGGCCTCTTGGGGGCATCTTGGGCCGTCTGGAGGCCGTCTTCGGTGTCTTTGATCGCTCTTGGACCGTCTTGGACCATATTGAGCTCTCTTGGAGGCCACTCGGAGCGCTCCTGGAGCGCTCTTGGGGCCGTTTTCGGGGCCCTCTTGGGTCGTCTTGGACGCCTGTTGGCCCGTCTTGGGGCCCTCTGGGGCTATTTTGGGACCCACTTGGAGGCTTCTTGGGCAGTCTTGGGGCGGTCTTGGGGGCCTCCTGGGCCGCGTGGGAGTATCGGAAAACCCAGAAGGCGAACTTGTGAAACATGTGCGTCTAACTCAGGGAATGGGCAAATTTTTGCGTCTAGGGACCCTCGTGGGGCGCATCTTGGAGGCCTCTTGGGGCCTCGTGGGGACCTCTTGTGCCGTCTAGGAGGCCTCGTAGCCCGTCTTTGGGCCACCTTGGGCGTCTTTGAGCGCTCGTTTGGCGTCCCGGGACCATTTCGAGGCCACCGGAGGAGTCCTTGCAGGATGACCCCCCCGGGGGAATCGGGGAATTTGGCCGGACCCCCCCGGGGGAATCGGGGAATTTGGCCTGACCAGATCTCGCACGCCGATGAAACCCAAGGGGTCGGCGGATGACGGGAAGCGCGAACGAGGAACGAGGAGCGTGGATCGTTGTTCTTAAGGAAAACCTTTATATAGGGCTCCAGATTGCATCTTGGGCGGGCGTTGGCGGATGACGGGAAGCGCCTCCGGCGTGTACCGTTGGTTCTGGGGAATTTAGCACCCCCAAAGGCTCCCATTTTTCGTTGGCGGATGACGGGAAGCGCCTCCGGCGTGCACCGTTGGTTCTGGGGCTCAATTTTCTCTAACTAAGGGGTGCGCGCCGCACCGGGAAACTCGCTGGCGGATGACGGGAAGCGCCTCCGGCGTGCACCGTTGGTTCTGGAGCTCAATTTTCTCTAACTAAGGGGTGCGCGCCGCACCGGGAAACTCGCTGGCGGATTCCGGAAAATTGGCCGTTTCGCTCGGGACGTCCTCAACAAATCGGCTCCGGAGGGGACTCCGAAGCGGCATTATCTTGGAATCGCTCCCGGAGGGCCTCCAAACGGCCCAAGAAAACCCCCGAAGGCCCCCCAGAGGACCCCCAGAGCGCCCCAAGAGACCCCCAAGAGGCCCCCAAGGGGCGGCCAGAGGCCCGCCAGAGCGCCCAAAACGCCCCAAGAGACCCCCAAGAAACCCCCCAGGGGCTCCAAAGAGGCGGCCAGAAGTCCCCCAGAACGCGCGAAAAGGCTCCAGGAGTTCCCTGAGAGCTTCAAAACGCCCCATAGAGCCCCCGAAGGCCCCCCCCGGGACTCCCCCAAGAGGCCCCCGAGAGGCCAGAGGCTACGACAGCCCCAAGAGCGTCCAAGATACCTCCAAGACGGCGCCGAAGCCAGGAAACGCAACAGGGATGCCCACAGGGCGTCCAGAGATGGTCTCACGCTCTGCAGCAACACCATGCTTTCAGGGTCCGCGGATATTCCTTTCTGATTCGCGGCTGCCTGCTTCTTCTCTCAACGGCGGACTGCAGCAACACCGTGCTTTCATGTTCGGAGGAGTTTCCTTTCGATTCGCGGCTGCCTGCTTCTTCTCTCAATCCCGGATGTTTGTGACCCTGTACCAAGAGACCCCAAATGGCCCCCAGGGGGCCCCCAAGACGGCCCACGGAGAGCCCCAAGACGGCCCACGGAGACCCCAAGACGGCCCAGGCTGCCCTCAAGACGGCCTCCGACCTGCTGGGACCGTCCTGCCTCCCCTGGTGACGGGAAGCGCCTCCGGCGTGTACCGTTGGTTCTGGGGAATTAAGCACCCCCAAAGGCTTCCATTTTTCGTTGGCGGATGACGGGAAGCGCCTCTGGCGTGCGCGCCGCACCGGGAAACTCGCTGGCGGATTCCGGAAAATTTGCCGTTTCGCTCGGGACGTCCTCAAAAAATCGGCTCCGGAGGGGACTCCGAATCAGCATTATTTTGGAATCGCTCCCGGAGGGCCTCCAAACGGCCCAAGAAAGCCCCCGAAGGCCCCCCAAAGGACCCCCAGAGCGCCCCAAGAGACCCCCAAGAGGCCCCCAAGGGGCGGCCAGAGGCCCGCCAGAGCGCCCAAAACGCCCCAAGAGACCCCCAAGAAGCCCCCCAGGGGCTCCAAAGAGGCGGCCAGAAGTCCCCCAGAACGCGCGAAAAGGCTCCAGGAGTTCCCTGAGAGCTTCAAAACGCCCCATAGAGCCCCCGAAGGCCCCCCCCGGGACTCCCCCAAGAGGCCCCCGCGAGGCCAGAGGCTACGACAGCCCCAAGAGCGTCCAAGATACCTCCAAGACGGCGCCGAAGCCAGGAAACGCAACAGGGTTCCGGAAAATTGCGGAAAGATTGTCACCCCGCTCACGAAATCTGACCAAGACGCGCCCAAGACGGCCACCAGGGCTCCAAGACGGCCCAAGAGCGCTCCAAGAACGCCCTAGAGCGTTCCAAGATGCCCTAAGATGGCTTCCAGACGGTCCAAGAGAGCTCCAAGACGGCCCAGGAGGCCCTCAAGAGGCCTCCAAGACGCCTCAAGAGGCTTCGAAGAGGCCTCACAAGAGCGCCAAAGAGGCACACATTTATGATTTTTGAATAGTTTTTGAAGGTTTTTGGGGTTCTCGCCTTTTCCGTTTCCCGACGCTCCAAGACGGCCCAAGAGGCCCCCAAGATCGCCCCAAGACGGCCCAAGAGGCCCCCAAGATCGCCTCAAGACGGCCCAAGAGGCCCCCAAGACGGCCCCAAGAAGGCAGCAAAAGGCCCCAAGGCGGCCCCAAGACGGCCCAAAGAGGTCTCGCGGCGGCCCAAGAGGCCGTCAATATGGCTCCTAGAGGGGGCCCAGACGAGGTACACGAACGGACTTTCCGGGTCCTCGGCCCCGGAGGGTCCAGGAGGCCCCCGGGAGCCCCCCAAGACGCTCCAAGAGGCCCCCAAGAGGCCCCAAAAAGGCCCCCAAGATGCCCCCAAGACGGCCCCCAAAAACGGCCCCCAAGAGGCTTCAGAATTGCTTCTAAGAGGCCTACGAGAGACCGACCACGACATCCCAAGGCTCCATTACGAACGATGATGTGGGCAGCTTCGAACGCCAGAGCTCCCAGTACGAACGCTGGCGTCCAGAGCTTTGACGACAAACACTGCTATGAGCAAAAACGGCGCTTCCCGTTCTTGTGCGGTCAGGTTCCGGAAAATTGGCCGTTTCGCTCGGGACGTCCTCCAAAAATCGGCTCCGGAGGGGACTCCGAAGCAGCATTATCTTGGAATCGCTCCCGGAGGGCCTCCAAACGGCCCAAGAAAGCCCCCGAAGGCCCCCCAGAGGACCCCCAGAGCGCCCCAAGAGACCCCCAAGAGGCCCCCAAGGGGCGGCCAGAGGCCCGCCAGAGCGCCCAAAACGCCCCAAGAGACCCCCAAGAAGCCCCCCAGGGGCTCCAAAGAGGCGGCCAGAAGTCCCCCAGAACGCGCGAAAAGGCTCCAGGAGTTCCCTGAGAGCTTCATATCGCCCCATAGAGCCCCCGAAGGCCCCCCCCGGGACTCCCCCAAGAGGCCCCCGAGAGGCCAGAGGCTACGACAGCCCCAAGAGCGTCCAAGATACCTCCAAGACGGCGCCGAAGCCAGGAAACGCAACAGGGATGTTCTCTGACGTTCTCGCCAATACGGTCTCTGACGCACGTGGTGGATAAAAAACTGCGCTTCCCGTTCTTGTCCGGTCAGGTTTCTGTTTTTTGGCCGTTTCGCTCGGGACATCCTCAAAACATCGGCTCCGGAGGGGGCTCCGAACCGACATCCTCTTGGAGTCGCCCCCGGAGGGCTCCAAGACGGCCCACGGAGGGCCCCAAGAGACCCCAAATGGCCCCCAGAGGGGCCCCCAAGACGGCCCACGGAGAGCCCCAAGACGGCCCACGGAGACCCCAAGACGGCCCAGGCTGCCCTCAAGACGGCCTCCGACCTGCTGGGACCGTCCTGCCTCCCCTGGTGACGGGAAGCGCCTACGGCGTGTACCGTTGGTTCTGGGGAATTAAGCATCCCCAAAGGCTTCCATTTTTCGTTGGCGGATGACGGGAAGCGCCTCCGGCGTGCACCGTTGGTTCAGGGGCTTAATTTTCTCGAACTAAGGGGTACCGATCGCATCCCGCACCTCGCTGGCGGATGACGGGAAGCGCCTCCGGCGTGCACCGTTGGTTCTGGGGCTCAATTTTCTCTAACTAAGGGGTGCGCGCCGCACCGGGAAACTCGCTGGCGGATGACGGGAAGCGTCTTCGAGGTACGAGAAGCAAGCGGGACGTTCTGGCTGAATCCTTGAGTAAATATATATATATATATATATATATATATATATCTTTATATCTATGGGTTGCCGCGCCGCACGGGATCATTCGTTGGCGGATGACGGGAAGCGTCTTCGAGGTACGAGAAGCAAGCGGGACGTTCTGGCTGAATCCTTGAGTAAATATATATATATATATATATATATATATATATCTTTATATCTATGGGTTGCGGGGCCGCACGGGAGTTTTCGTTGGCGGATTCCCCAAAATGGCCATTTCGCTCGAGACATCCTCGAAAAATCGAGGTGTTGGAGGCTATCGTTTAAGACGTCTTATGTTAAAAATGACGGTTTCGCTCGAGACATCCTCAAAAAATCGGGATGTTGAAAAATATCAAAAATTTTTGTTATGCATGAAAAATGAGCGTTTCGCTCGAGACATCCTCGAAAAAATGAGATGCCGACAGAGGTGTTTTAGAACCTCTTATGTTAAAAATGACGTTTTCGCTCGGGACGTCCTCAGAAAATGAGCAGGTGGTCTGCCGTGCTCCTGTGTGGAGCACGGCAGACCACGGCCATTTCGCTCGAGACATCCTCAAAAAATCGAGGTGTGGTCTGCCGTGCTCCTGTGTGGTCTGCCGTGCTCCTGTGGTCTGCCGTGCTCCCCACAGGAGCACGGCAGACCGCGCGTAGGAACCGAGAGGAGCACGGCAGACCAAGACGAGGAGCACGGCAGACCAGGCTTAGGAACCGAGAGGAGCACGGCAGACCAAGACGAGGAGCACGGCAGACCAGGCACCAAGAGCGCCCTCAAGACGACGGAAAGGATGACCAAGACGAGGAGCACGGCAGACCAAGACGAGGAGCACGGCAGACTATGCCCTAAGAGTGCCCTCAAGACGGCCGAACAACGGCAGACCCCATAGGAGCACGGCAGACCACAGAAGAGCACGGCAGACCAACAGGAGCACGGCAGACCACACAAGAGCACGGGTCCGTAGCCATTTTGGCTCAAGGCCATGGCGCACCCGACGACCGCGAGTCCGTCGGGCGTTCTTGAGCGCGAGGGGCGCTCTGCCACGAGCCAGAAGCTTCGCCTGGTTTGTTCTCCTTCGTGCCTGCAGGGCAGTGTGTTTTGTCCGAGCAGCTGTCAGCCCCTCGGTGTGCCGCCATGTCGGAGGTTGCCTCGGGGCTGGCTAGGCGGGCGTACTGGTTGTGTGCTAAGCGTGGCTGTAACGCTTGGAACTGGTGTGACAAGCGGTGGACGTGCAAGGCGTGCGGCACCAGTGCTCCCCCATGGACGAAGGAGTACCGCTCCGACAAAGCCCCCCCGCGGGTCGACGCAGACGGGTTCGTGCAGCAGCCCAGGGGTAGGGCTGAGCAGCGCGCGGCGAGGCGCTCGGCCTCCCAGCGGGCCCTCTCGGGGAGCACCGCGCCCAGCAGCGCCCCCAACAGCAGGGCACGGCGGGCGCGGCCCTGGGGTGAGGCCAAGTCCCAGATCGAGGAGCTGCAGGCGCAGCTCGTGGCGGCCAGGGAGCGCGTCGATGCGCTCCAGGGGGCCTCGGCGCTCGGGCTCTCAGTGGACTTCCAGCGTGAGGCGGAGAATGCCCTCCAGCAGGGCAAGGACCAGGTCGCCGCCCTGGAGCGGTCCGTCCAGGAGGCCCAGCGGACTGAGCGCCCGCCTCACCCGGTGCTCCACATTGAGGCCAACGCCATTCAGAAGGTCGAACGCCAGCTGGCCACGGCCCGTACCAAGAGAGAGAAGCTCCAGCTGCAGGCGTCCGAGCTGCGCGAGCTCATCGCGGAGAAGCAGGAGCAGCTGTCGGCAGCCGAGTTGGGAGTGGATGAAGTCACTGGGCAGATTGCTGAGCTGGAAGAGACCAGGGCCAAGGTCACGCAGCAGGCGATCCAGCGGGCCAACGCAGCTGTCGGAGGCGTGCCGAGCCCGCTGGGGGACGCCGTCCAGGGGTTGCTCACTCAAGTCGGCGCCCTTTCGGATCTCCTCAAGCAGCACGGAGCCGAGCTGCCTCCCAGGTTTTCCGAGATCGTCGGGATTCTCAACACGCAGAAGGAGGCGGTCGCTGATGTGCTCAGGCCCCGCAGCAGCTCGGTCAGGAAGCGTTGGGGCGACAGCGTCGGTGACGATGGCCTCGCGACCGAGGATGACGACATGCCGCTCGACATCGTGGCCTCTGGGGGGCCCGCGGCCGCCCCTCCCGCTGCCGCCCCGCAGGCAGGGCCGACCGCGGCTGGGCCGCCAGCCACGCGGGCCAGGCCAGCGGACGGACCCTACGGCCCTGCAGCGGCCCGCGGCCAGCACGGGGCGACCCTGGGCGCGTGGCCCCAGGTGGAGCCCTGCCTCGCTAAGGCCCTCGCCGAGCAAGGGGCGGCCCTCTCGGACGGCGACCCCTTGGTGGCTGCGACTGCTGTCGTTGCTCCTGCTGCTGGGTACGGGCCGCGCCGTGGGTGATGCGGGAGCGCTGGAGTGGTCAGCTTCCACAGTCGGCCTCGACGTCGGGGACAGCGGGACGCCTTCCCCTCGGGCTGTGCGCGGGCCCAGCTGCTGGGACAGGTGGAGGAGGCGCTGTGATGGCCGCTGGCGCGTCCGCGCCCCTCGCAGGCGGCGGGCGGCGCAGAGCGCCCTTGCCCGAGGTAGCCAGCTGGCGCGGTCGGGAACACCGAGGTGGCCCCCCGACGGCCAGTCAGGGGCCGAGAGCGGTGGGATTCAGCCCCACGTCGTCGCAGCTCTCGGCCCCGTTGGTGATGGGCAGGCGCACCCCCCGCTGGCAACCGGAGGGGCGGAAGGACGGCCACCTCCACAGCGACGGCCACCTCCCGTTCTGGCGAGCGGCCCGCCGACGCCGATGAGGAGCGCTGGAGCGAGGGGCCAGGACCCCCCTCCAGTCCTGGTGGGGGCGGAGGGTCCCGCGACCAGGGGCACAGCGGGCCCTGTGTCTGGCGCTGGTGGGCGCGCCGCTCGCGAGGCAGCCGTCATCGGCAAGGCGCCGCTGGTCGGCAGCGCAGGAGGCCAGCAGCTTCGGGCTGGCCTAGTCATGTTCGGCTGCAATGGCAACACTTGGAGCAGGAGCATTGAAGCCATCGAGGCCTTCTTCAAGGCGCACGACTACTGGCCCGACGTAGTGGCGCTGCAGGAGACGAGGCTCCCGCATGAGCGCTTGCCCAGTGCGGCGGCTCAGGCCCGCGGCCTGGGTTACGCGGCCTTCCTCCACGAGGCGGCGCTCACGGAGAAGCAGGGGCCCCAGGCGACCTCAGGCGGCGTGGCGATTCTGGTGCGAGACGGCTTGCAGGCAGACGAGTCTGCTTACCCGTTGCCCTCGGCCTTGCGGCACCGCCTCATCGGGGTGGAGGTCGCCGCTGCCTCGGGCCTTCGGATCCTGGTGCTCGCTGGGTACTTTCAGCACTCTGTGGGCCCTCGAGGCACCAACCTGGACATGTTTTCGGCCATCCCGGAGGTGACGGGATCTCCTGCCGACATCCCGTGGGTCCTCCAAGCCGACTTCAACATGGAGCCCGAGCCCCTGGAGGAGTTGGGGTGGCCCGCGGCGGTGCGGGGGCACGTCCTGGGGCCCTCGGAGGCGACGTGCCATGCCGAGGGATGCGACCACCTCTACGACTGGTTCGTGGCCTCCGCGGCGTTGGCTGCCTGCGCGGCCTCCTGCGCCACCACGCTCGAGGGCTTCGGTCTGCACCCTCATCGCCCTGTCCTGCTTCGCCTCCAGGACGTTCGGGCAGATGCGCTGGTGGAGGTTCCGTCCAGGCCCGCACGCTTCCCCGAAGTTGCTCCTGAGCTCCTTCGGGCGCACGAGGACGCGGAGATTGTGTGCTACTCGGTTGGCAAGAAGGGACAGGCCACGCCTAGGGGCGTCGTGTGGTCCTGGGACACAGGCACTTCACCGCCCAACCTCTCCGTCGCCTTCAGCGAGTGGGCGGCGGCTGCCGAGGGCACCCTGGTCGGCATCCACGGCATCGGCCAGGCAGACTTGGCCCGTCATCTCGGCAGAGGAGAGGGGCCGCGGCTGACCCTCAAGCCTCTCAGTGCCTTGGTCAGGCGGGATGCCAGGTTCAGGTTCAGCCTCCTCACGCACCGCTTGAGGAGCTGCCTGGACGTGGCCCTCCAGCGGGTGCGCGCTGAGAGGACTGGCCGCTGGCACCCTCGGCATGCAGACTGGTACGGGCACCAGGCCGGGCTCAGGGCGCAGCTCTTGCTAGAGGCGGTGCAGGATGCTGCCGACTCGGTCGGTGGGGCTCTCCCTGGCGCAGCTCCTGATCGACTAGGCGACCTGGTGTATCAGGCGGGCGTCCACGGCAGCCCTGATGCCGTTCGGGACCTCCAAGGGCTGCTCGGTGCATCGCAGCGCCGCGACGCTGCTCAGAGCGCCCAGGCCTGGCGCAACTGGGCACAGACAGCGGTCGAGAAGGGCGGTCGTCTGGCCCACCGCTTCTCGAAGGCGACGCCCCCGCCGACGGTCAGGGACGCTGACTCGGGCAGGAGGCTTGTTGGGATGGCAGCGATCGGCGAGCTCACGTGTGTCTGGCAGAAGCTGTGGCTCCAGGACGGGTTTGCCCTGGGCGCAGGGGCCAGCAGCTGGGGCGTTGGCGAGTGGCGGCTGCCACCCATCACGCTGGGGCAGCTCCAGGCGGCCTGCAAGCGCTACAGCCCCTCGGTGGGGCTCGGGTGCGACTCTCTGCACCCTCGGCAGATCCTCCTGTTGCCCGTGGCGCTGCAGCAGCGCATCCTGGACATCCTAGCGGCCTACGACGACGCCCCTGCATCGATCAACGGGCAGGTCTCCCTGATGGTGTTCATCCCGAAGGCAGATGGAGGGGTAAGGCCCATTGCGTTGCTGCCGCTGGTCCTGCGGCTGTGGTCGCGCCTCCGCCAGCCGTGCTGTGCCCGCTGGGAGGCTGACCACGACTTCCCCTTCTTCTGGGGACGTGGCGGGCGGGACTGCGAGCGGGCTGGGTGGCTGCACAACTGTTTTGCGGGGTTCGCGAAGGCGAACCAGCAGTTCGAGGCCGCGAGCCTCTTCCTGGACATCAGCAAGTTCTACGAGCATGTGCGTCACGATGTTCCCTGGGCGAATGCTGTACGTTTCGGGTTCAACCTCAGGCTGTTGCGCGGCCTCCTCACCTCCTACCAGGCCCCTAGGATGATCCTCGCGGCGGGAATGGCCTCCCCCGCCTTCGGCACTACAGGTACGGTTTTGGCTGGGTGTGCGTGTGCGACAGCGGTTGCGAAGCTCCCAGTGCTGGGCGCCCTCCTGGCCGCGGGGGCGACGTGCCCGCTGGTCACGCCGAGGAATGTTGTCGACGACATCTCGCTCCAGGCGGTCGGCACGGCCCGACTCGTTAAGCAGCAGATGTTGGCCTCCAGCTGTGAAGTGGTCCGCCAGCTGCGTGAACAGCACCTCCCACTCAATGAGAGTAAGTCGGTCTTCCTGGCCTCGTCGCCGCAGCTCGCCAAGGAGCTTTCCGAGGCGTGGGCAGCGCAGGGCTTGACCTTCAAGAGGGGACTGCAGGCGAGGAACCTCGGCACCGACGCCAACATCACTCGTCGAGGAGTGCATGAAGGGGCTGTGCGTGCGGTCGGCGGCCTTCGGCGTGGACGCAGGCTCGGGGTGCTTCGCTCAGCTGGTGCGGCGACCGAGATGGTCCACCGTGCTGGGCCCACCGCGGCGATGCTGTGGGGGCGTACTGTGACTGGTGTACCTGATAGGGAGCTTCATTCGTGGCGCTTGGCGGCCGTGCGCTCGGCTGGGAAGTTCCCCAAGGGCGCCTCACTCGGGCTGAGGCTCAGAGCGGTGGGGGTCATGCGGTCCATCGACCTCGACCCGAGCCCCGCGCTGCTTCGTGCCGCCGTGCAGATGGCGGCCAGCCTCCTTCAGTCGGGGGAGGTCTCGCAGCGCATGTTCGAGTCGGCCGTGCAGGAGGCGGAGCGGAGGCACGCGGGAGCAGCAGCCCCATGGGCGCACTGCCGTACGCCAGTGGATGCCTTGGCCCTCTCGCTCACCAGGGTGGGCTGGAGGCTCGTCCAAGGCACCTGCCTCGCCACCGACGACGGCCACATCCTGGACCTGCGCATGATGGGGCCGCGCGAGCTGGGCCTGCTGGCAGCGGCAGGGGCGCGGCGTGCTTCGGACAGGTCGGAGCTGGCCCGCCTAGGCCACGGTGCGCTCCCCCCGTCGCCCTTGTTCTGGGAGGCCTTTTCGGAGGTCCTCGGGCCTGGCAGCAAGCTCAGCCCCAGGGAGAAGGCGGCGGTGTTGAGTTTCCTTTCCAATGCCCACTGGCCCCAGACCCGTCTGCACTCGGCAGGGGAGAGGGAGCATGCTCGCTGCTGCGCTTGCGATGCACCCCGCGGCGGCCTCTGGCACAGGCTGTTCGAGTGTCCCGTCCTCGTGGGGCCGAGGCGCGACTCCACCTCCGACCGCCTTCGGCGCTGCGCACACCGTGCACGTGGCCGTGGTGAGGAGGCGGGGGAATGCTTTGCGCGCTGCTGGCTCCCTCAGCCCCCGAGGGCCGCACCGAGGTCGGATGCCATGGCGGTCATGTGGCGCAATCGCCCCGCCGACGGTCTCCTCGGGGGGCGTCTCTACCTGGATGGGTCGGCGCTCGACCCCGAGCACGAGAGCCTACGGCGTGCGGGTTGGAGCATCGTGCAGTGCGACTCCGACGGCAACATGGAGTGCGCGGTGTACGGCAGCGTGCGCCAAGACCTCTGCCCTTTCCAGTCGGCCAAGGACGGCGAGGATTTCGCAGTCTGGATGCTGTCCCGCTTCCTGGGCCCGAGTGTGGACGAGATCCTCATCGATTGTGCGTCTACGGTCAGCTGCCTCACGTTGGGCAAGAAGTACGCGACGGCAGCCAACAAGCCCAATGCCCATCTCTGGGAGGGGATCTACGCTTCGCTGGACGTGGACATGCTCAAGGTTACCAAAGTGGCAGCCCACTGCACCGCCAGAGACGTGATGGATGGCAAGATCACGGAGGCAGACCTCCGCGGCAACGGTCATGCCGACCGCTGGGCCAAGGCAGGTGCGGAGCTGCACCGCTCCAGCCCCGTGGCCAGGCGCGAGTTCTTCGGCACGATGGAAGTGGTGAGGGAGCTCTCATGCTGGGTGGCGCAAGCCTCCCTCATCTGGCAGGGGATCGAGGTCAAGGACTGCGAGGGCCTGCCTGAGGGCAGCGAGCGGACGGCTGTTTCCTTCGCCGTGCCCGTGGTGGAGCCCGCCAGCAGCCGCCCGTCCGACTCGGGTTCGGGCGACGGGTGGGCCTCGGCGGCGCGCGCTGGTGGAGTATCCCTCGGTGCGACGGCCTTCGTCGTCGCTGGCCACGTCCTGGCCTTCGCCAGGTGCGGGGAGGGCGCCGCCGAGCAGGAGCTGATGGCGTGCACCCACTGCGGGGCGTACGCGCGGCTGGGCGGGCGCTCAGGCGCGGCGCCCAAGCTCAAGGAGCATTGCCCAGGGTCTGCTGGGCTTCCCAAGGGCAGGCGCGACCAGAAGGCACGCTGGATGCAGGGGCGGCATCCTGCTGGCACGCCCCACAGCGGCAGCAAGCGGGTCGGCGCGGCAGTGCCCAGCCTGCGCAAGGAGGACGTGGTGCCGATGGACGCCAGGGTGCGCTTCCTGCAGTGGCTGGGGGTCCGCCCCGAGGATGCCCCTGGCGGGGAGGCCGCCGGCGCCAGCCGCGGGCCCCCCAGCGGCGCGGCGGCCGCTGGCGAGGCGGCGGCTGAGCCGCTGGCGCCTGGCCCCGCGGGGGCCTCGAGGGAGGCATGGCTTGGCGCCTACGGCCTGGACGAGGCGAGCCTCCTCGAGCGGTCAGCTGCGGCTGAGGCGGCGCGAGAGGACAGGCGCAAGAGGCGCCGCCCTGCAGTTGGTGACGAGGGGTCGTGATGCAGCATCACTTTCTTTTTCCTGTTGTGTCCGCCCCTCTCATGGTCTGCAGGTCTGCAGGCACCTTCATCTTCTTCTGAGTGCGTGAGGCTGCACCTTCATTGTGTTGTGTGTTTCACCCCTCACGTCGAGGTCAGGCCCGTTTGGCTTTGCAATGCGTGTGCTGGCCTCACCTCGAGTTTGTGAGGCCCTTCGGCGCTTGTTGAGATGGTGGGCCTCGCGTCTCATTTGCAGCGAGGCAGACATGTTGGCCGTGCTATGCGTGCCTCAGCCTCCGCTGCTTTCTCGATTTCTTTGAAATCATTGCGCTTCGCGCGTCTGGCGCTTCGCGCCCTCCCCTGCGGTGGCTCCTTCAGGGCCCCGAGGGTTGGCCCTTGAGGCCCTGGGGCCAACGGGCTCCGTGGGCCTCGGGCTCCTTTTAGCCTTCATAGGCCCCGCAGCTCACAGCTCACACAAGAGCACGGCAGGCCACACAGGAGCACGGCAGACCACACAGGAGCACGGCAGACCACAAAGGAGCACGGCAGACCACACAAGAGCACGGCAGACCCCACAAGAGCACGGCAGACCCCACAGGAGCACGGCAGACCCCACAGGAGCACGGCAGAGCAGACCCAAAAGGAGCACGGCAGACCACACAGGAGCAAGGCAAACCACAGGAGCACGGCAGACCACACAGGAGCACGGCAGACCCCACAGTAGCAAGGCAGACCCCAAAGGAGCACGGCAGACCACCGGAGCACGGCAGACCACACAGGAGTACGGCAGACCCCACATGAGCACGGCAAATCCCAAATGAGCACGGCAGACCACAAGAGCACGGCAGACCACACAGGAGCACGGCAGACTCCACAGGAGCACGGCAGACCACAAAGGAGCACGGCAGACCACACAGGAGCCCGGCAGACGCCACAGGAGCACGGCAGACGCCACAGGAGCACGGCGGAACCCACAGGAGCACGGCAGACCGCGCGCGGGTACAACATAAACGCGCCTTTTTGTTGTACCCCGAACGCCGCTGGCGTTTCCCCAACAGGAGCACGGCAGATCTCACAGGCGCGCGGCAGACCCCAAATGAGCACGGCCGACCACAGGAGCACGGCAGACCCCAAATGAGTACGGCAGACCCCAAAAGAGCACCGTAGACGCCTCAGGAGCACGGCTGACCACACAGGAGCACGGCAGCCTGGGCCGGTTCCGGCGCCGGCCGGCGCCGGAAAATTGAATTCCGAGGCGGTGCCGAAAAAAGGCCACTCCAAGACATATTTTTCTTTCGAAAATATTGATTTTCTGCTCCCGGCGCCCGGGAACCCCTTCCGGGCCGCTTCTGGCACCCGGGCCGGCGCTCGAGCCAAACGCCCGGGCCAGCACCCGGGCCAGCGCCCGGGCCGGTTCCGGCGCCGGCCGGCGCCGGAAAATTGAATTCCGAGGCGGTGCCGAAAAAAGGCCACTCCAAGACATATTTTTCTTTCGAAAATATTGATTTTCTGCTCCCGGCGCCCGGGAACCCCTTCCGGGCCGCTTCCGGCACCCGGGCCGGCGCTCGAGCCGAACGCCTGGGCCAGCACCCGGGCCAGCGCCCGGGCCGGTTCCGGCGCCGGCCGGCGCCGGAAAATTGAATTCCGAGGCGGTGCGGAAAAAAGGCCACTCCAAGACATATTTTTCTTTCGAAAATATTGATTTTCTGCTCCCGGCGCCCTGGAACCCCTTCCGGGCCGATTCCGGCACCCAGGCCGGCGCTCGAACCGAACGCCCGGGCCGGCACCTGGGCTGGCGGCCGACGCGCGATGCGCTGCCACAAGCCAGCTTCCCGCAAGATCGGTCCAGAGTGGGAGGGGACGGAGCTGGGCGGGTGAAGGACCACCAGAGCACTGCTCCAGCCTTCCCTCAGCCCTGGGTCTGCTGACCACACAGGAGCACGGCAGACCACACAGGAGCGCGGCAAACCACAAAGGAGCAAGGCAGACCCCAAATGAGCACGGCAGTCCACACGTTCGCACGGCAGACCGCACAGGAGCACGGCAGACCGCACATGAGCACGGCAGACCAAGAAGGAGCACGGCAGACCACACAGGAGCACGGCAGACCACACAGGAGCACGGCAGACCACACAGGACACGGCAGACCCCACGGGAGCACGGCAGACCACACAGGAGCACGGCAAACCACACAAGAGCACGGCAGACCATACAGGAGCACGCCAGACCACACAGGAGCACGGCAGACCACACGTTCGCACGGCAAACTCCACAGGAGCACGGCAGACCCCAAAGGAGCACGGCAGACCACAGGAGCACGGAAGACCGCACAGGAGCACGGCAGACCACACAGGAGCACGGCAAACCAAGAAGGAGCACGGCAGACCACAGGAGCACCGCAGACGCCACAGAAGCACGGCAGATCGTCGTCGTCGTCATCGTCGTCGTCGTCGTCTTCGTCAATAACGATCTCGAAAATTACGACAAAAAACGATGACAGAAAACGACCACAAACATAACACAAAAACCAACCGAACACGGAATCCAACAACAAAAAAACAATCAGAAAAACGACCGCAATCATAAAATGATAACGACGGCGACAGCGAGAACGGCAACAGCGGACGATTATAATGAAAACGACGACCACGACAAAGGAAAGGCACGCGACGACGACGACGGACAAACAAAAGACAAGACAGGCTGGAACAGAAAAAGTAGGCTGGGCGACAACGGGTGGGGGCCCGCGTGGCCGAGAGAAAAGCACGGTGTCGACACCATGATGTGGCCAGGGCAGCAGACTACCTCGACAGACCAGCGCGGCAGGCCACCATTTAGTCTGTTCTGTTGCGTTTATGGGTTTCTCTGACGTTCTCGCCAATACGGTCTCTGACGCACGTGGTGGATAAAAAACGGCGCTTCCCGTTCTTGTCCGGTCAGGTTCCCCAAAATGGCCATTTCGCTCGAGACATCCTCGAAAAATCGAGGTGTTGGAGGCTATCGTTTAAGACGTCTTATGTTAAAAATGACGGTTTCGCTCGAGACATCCTCAAAAAATCGGGATGTTGAAAAATATCAAAAAATTTTTGTTATGCATGAAAAATGAGCGTTTCGCTCGAGACATCCTCGAAAAAATGAGATGCCGACAGAGGTGTTTTACAACCTCTTATGTTAAAAATGACGTTTTCGCTCGGGACGTCCTCAGAAAATGAGCAGGTGGTCTGCCGTGCTCCTGTGTGGAGCACGGCAGACCACGGCCATTTCGCTCGAGACATCCTCAAAAAATCGAGGTGTGGTCTGCCGTGCTCCTGTGTGGTCTGCCGTGCTCCTGTGGTCTGCCGTGCTCCCCACAGGAGCACGGCAGACCGCGCGTAGGAACCGAGAGGAGCACGGCAGACCAAGACGAGGAGCACGGCAGACCAGGCTTAGGAACCGAGAGGAGCACGGCAGACCAAGACGAGGAGCACGGCAGACCAGGCACCAAGAGCGCCCTCAAGACGACGGAAAGGATGACCAAGACGAGGAGCACGGCAGACCAAGACGAGGAGCACGGCAGACTATGCCCTAAGAGTGCCCTCAAGACGGCCGAACAACGGCAGACCCCATAGGAGCACGGCAGACCACAGAAGAGCACGGCAGACCAACAGGAGCACGGCAGACCACACAAGAGCACGGCAGGCCACACAGGAGCACGGCAGACCACACAGGAGCACGGCAGACCACAAAGGAGCACGGCAGACCACACAAGAGCACGGCAGACCCCACAAGAGCACGGCAGACCCCACAGGAGCACGGCAGACCCCACAGGAGCACGGCAGAGCAGACCCAAAAGGAGCACGGCAGACCACACAGGAGCAAGGCAAACCACAGGAGCACGGCAGACCACACAGGAGCACGGCAGACCCCACAGTAGCAAGGCAGACCCCAAAGGAGCACGGCAGACCACCGGAGCACGGCAGACCACACAGGAGTACGGCAGACCCCACATGAGCACGGCAAATCCCAAATGAGCACGGCAGACCACAAGAGCACGGCAGACCACACAGGAGCACGGCAGACTCCACAGGAGCACGGCAGACCACAAAGGAGCACGGCAGACCACACAGGAGCCCGGCAGACGCCACAGGAGCACGGCAGACGCCACAGGAGCACGGCGGAACCCACAGGAGCACGGCAGACCGCGCGCGGGTACAACATAAACGCGCCTTTTTGTTGTACCCCGAACGCCGCTGGCGTTTCCCCAACAGGAGCACGGCAGATCTCACAGGCGCGCGGCAGACCCCAAATGAGCACGGCCGACCACAGGAGCACGGCAGACCCCAAATGAGTACGGCAGACCCCAAAAGAGCACCGTAGACGCCTCAGGAGCACGGCTGACCACACAGGAGCACGGCAGCCTGGGCCGGTTCCGGCGCCGGCCGGCGCCGGAAAATTGAATTCCGAGGCGGTGCCGAAAAAAGGCCACTCCAAGACATATTTTTCTTTCGAAAATATTGATTTTCTGCTCCCGGCGCCCGGGAACCCCTTCCGGGCCGCTTCCGGCACCCGGGCCGGCGCTCGAGCCAACGCCCGGGCCAGCACCCGGGCCAGCGCCCGGGCCGGTTCCGGCGCCGGCCGGCGCCGGAAAATTGAATTCCGAGGCGGTGCGAAAAAAGGCCACTCCAAGACATATTTTTCTTTCGAAAATATTGATTTTCTGCTCCCGGCGCCCTGGAACCCCTTCCGGGCCGATTCCGGCACCCAGGCCGGCGCTCGAACCGAACGCCCGGGCCGGCACCTGGGCTGGCGGCCGACGCGCGATGCGCTGCCACAAGCCAGCTTCCCGCAAGATCGGTCCAGAGTGGGAGGGGACGGAGCTGGGCGGGTGAAGGACCACCAGAGCACTGCTCCAGCCTTCCCTCAGCCCTGGGTCTGCTGACCACACAGGAGCACGGCAGACCACACAGGAGCGCGGCAAACCACAAAGGAGCAAGGCAGACCCCAAATGAGCACGGCAGTCCACACGTTCGCACGGCAGACCGCACAGGAGCACGGCAGACCGCACATGAGCACGGCAGACCAAGAAGGAGCACGGCAGACCACACAGGAGCACGGCAGACCACACAGGAGCACGGCAGACCACACAGGACACGGCAGACCCCACGGGAGCACGGCAGACCACACAGGAGCACGGCAAACCACACAAGAGCACGGCAGACCATACAGGAGCACGCCAGACCACACAGGAGCACGGCAGACCACACGTTCGCACGGCAAACTCCACAGGAGCACGGCAGACCCCAAAGGAGCACGGCAGACCACAGGAGCACGGAAGACCGCACAGGAGCACGGCAGACCACACAGGAGCACGGCAAACCAAGAAGGAGCACGGCAGACCACAGGAGCACCGCAGACGCCACAGAAGCACGGCAGATCGTCGTCGTCGTCATCGTCGTCGTCGTCGTCTTCGTCAATAACGATCTCGAAAATTACGACAAAAAACGATGACAGAAAACGACCACAAACATAACACAAAAACCAACCGAACACGGAATCCAACAACAAAAAAACAATCAGAAAAACGACCGCAATCATAAAATGATAACGACGGCGACAGCGAGAACGGCAACAGCGGACGATTATAATGAAAACGACGACCACGACAAAGGAAAGGCACGCGACGACGACGACGGACAAACAAAAGACAAGACAGGCTGGAACAGAAAAAGTAGGCTGGGCGACAACGGGTGGGGGCCCGCGTGGCCGAGAGAAAAGCACGGTGTCGACACCATGATGTGGCCAGGGCAGCAGACTACCTCGACAGACCAGCGCGGCAGGCCACCATTTAGTCTGTTCTGTTGCGTTTATGGGTTTCTCTGACGTTCTCGCCAATACGGTCTCTGACGCACGTGGTGGATAAAAAACGGCGCTTCCCGTTCTTGTCCGGTCAGGTTCCGGAAAATTGGCCGTTTCGCTCGGGACGTCCTCAAAAAATCGGCTCCGGAGGGGACTCCGAAGCAGCATTATCTTGGAATCGCTCCCGGAGGGCCTCCAAACGGCCCAAGAAAGCCCCCGAAGGCCCCCCAGAGGACCCCCAGAGCGCCCCAAGAGACCCCCAAGAGGCCCCCAAGGGGCGGCCAGAGGCCCGCCAGAGCGCCCAAAACGCCCCAAGAGACCCCCAAGAAGCCCCCCAGGGGCTCCAAAGAGGCGGCCAGAAGTCCCCCAGAACGCGCGAAAAGGCTCCAGGAGTTCCCTGAGAGCTTCATATCGCCCCATAGAGCCCCCGAAGGCCCCCCCCGGGACTCCCCCAAGAGGCCCCCGAGAGGCCAGAGGCTACGACAGCCCCAAGAGCGTCCAAGATACCTCCAAGACGGCGCCGAAGCCAGGAAACGCAACAGGGATGTTCTCTGACGTTCTCGCCAATACGGTCTCTGACGCACGTGGTGGATAAACAACTGCGCTTCCCGTTCTTGTCCGGTCAGGTTCCGGAAAGTTGCGAGAAAATTGTCACTCCATTCAAAAAATATGACCAAAACGCGCCCAAGACGGCCACCAGGGCTCCAAGACGGCCCAAGAGCGCTCCAAGACCGCCCTAGAGCGTTCCAAGATGCCTTAAGATGGCTTCCAGACGGTCCAAGAGAGCTCCAAGACGGCCCAGGAGGCCCTCAAGAGGCTTCCAAGACGCTTCAAGAGGCTTCGAAGAGGCTTCACAAGAGCGCCAAACAGGCACTAATCTATGTTTTTTTTGAATAGTTTTTGAAGGTTTTTGAGGTTCTCGCCTTTTCCGTTTCCCGACGCTCCAAGACGGCCCAAGAGGCCCCCAAGATCGCCCCAAGACGGCCCAAAAGGCCCCCAAGATCGCCTCAAGACGGCCCAAGACGCCCCCAAGACGGCCCCAAGAAGGCACCAGAAGGCCCCAAGGCGGCCCCAAGACGGCCCCAAGAGGCTTCGCGGCGGCCCAAGAGGCCGTCAATATGGCTCCTAGAGGGGGCCCAAACGAGGTACACGAACGGACTTTTCGGGTCCTCGGCCCCAAATGCCCCCACGGAGGGTCCAGGAGGCCCCCGGGAGCCCCCCAAGACGCTCCAAGAGGCCCCCAAGAGGCCCCCAAAAGGCCCCCAAGATGCCCCCAAGACGGCCCCAAAAACGGCCCCCAAGAGGCTTCAGAATTGCTTCTAAGAGGCCTACGGGAGACCGACCACGACATCCCAAGGCCTCATTGCGAACGATGACGTGGGCAGCTTCGAACGCCAGAGCTCCCAGTACGAACGCTGGCGTCCAGAGCTTTGACGACAAACACTGCTATGAGCAAAAACGGCGCTTCCCGTTCTTGTGCGGTCAGGTTTCTAAATTGGCCGTTTCGCTCGGGACATCCTCTAACAAATTGAGTTGGCGTTGGCTCCAGGCCGCCTTTGTGTTCGGATCGCTCTTGGAGCGCCCAAGAGGGTCCCTAGAAGGCCACAGGACAGCTCCAGGGGGCCCGCATGACGGCCCCAGAGGCCTCCAAGAGCACCCCCAAGAGGGCCCAAGAGGCCAAAATCGTCAAATTCCTTTCTGGGAAAACGTATATTTTTAGTATATACGATTTTCTCGTCTTCACGGCGTCGAAGACGGTCCAAGAGTCCCCCAAGACCGACCCGCGACGGCCCAAGAGACCCTCAAGAGGCGCCCAAGACGGCCGAAGAGGGCGCCAAGACGGCCCAAGAGGCTCTCAAGAAGGCCCACGAGGGCCCCAAGAGGGGCCCAAGAGGGTGAGCCCGAATCGAAAATCTGAGCATCCTGCCCACAGACAGCCCTAGGAGGCCCCAGGAGGCGCCCAAGAGGTCACAAGAGGCCCCCAAGACGCGCCAAAAGGCCCCCAAGAGGCCCAAAAGAGGCCCCAAGAGGACCCAAAACGGCCCGCGAGAAGCCTCCCACGAGAGCCCGACGAACTTTCACTTCGTCTCATTCTCAATACCCCGGCACGGTGGCGGGATGGACCGAAGGTCACTAGACTTTCCATCTCCTTATCCCGAATTCGGGTTACACAGCCCCAAGACAGCTCAAGAGAGCCCGAAAACGGCACCAGAGGGATCCAAGAGGGCTTCATGTTACAGGCCTCTTGGACCGTCCTGGGGTTATCGCCGGTCGCATTCAAAATATAATGGGCAGTCTTGGAGCATCTTGGAGTGGCCGTAGACGGCCAGAGGCATCCTGGGCATTCCTGGGAGGGGTGAGGGATCTGGTCCGTTTAACCGGATCCCCCCCCAAGCAAGCCAGCCGGACCGAACCCCAAGGGGACGGCGGATAGCTCGGGATCTTGAAGGTGGACGCGGGGGCCGCGTGGTAACTGACCGCTTGCGCACAATAGAAGTAATAGCGGTTCCGGGGCGTGAATCTGGCTGCACTTCTGTGGGTCCTGATCGCCGAGGCATGAACCCAGAGTACTTTGCAATGGGTCGTGGTCCCGGAGGCGCGTATCGCGTGCATGTTACGAGGGATCTGCGTCTCGGAAGCGCGAGCGTCGTATGTTTTCGAGGGATCCTTGACTCGGGCACCGCGCAGTCCCCTCCTGTTCGCACAAGCGTTCCAGTTTTGACATCCCCATGTGATGCCATACCTGCAACGAACGTTCGAACATTCGCTTCCCGTTCTTGTCAGGTCAGGTTTTCGCTGCTGTGGACCTTCTTGGAGCGCCCCTTCGGGGCCTCTTGGATCGTCTTGGAGGCATCGTGAGCTGTCTTGAGCCCATATTGAGGCATCTTGGAGCCACTGAAGGCCACGTGGAGGTCCTCTTGACCCGTCGTGGTGCGTCCCGGGGTCATTTCGAGGCCACTGGAAGGGTCCTTGCAGGATTTTCGGGAGCGGATGATTTCCCCGGGGGAATCGGGGAATCCGCCCGGACCCCCCCCCCCCTTTCCAAATCGACCGGACCGGGCTCCCGGGGCAGGGGTTTGGGGAGGGGAAAGATCTCACACGCCGATGAACCCCAAGGGGTCGGCGGATTTCATCCAGATGTCGTAGGGCTTGGTCGACCCCTGGGCGAAAGATTGGCGAAATCTTGACAGGGCGACGATTCTCAGGGCCGAGGGCTCGTGTTCCCCCGTGGGAGCTCTCTTGGGGCGTTCTTGGGGCTTTCTTGGGCCGTCTTGGAGGCCCTTCGGGCCGTCTTGGAGGCCTCTCGGGCCGTCTTGGGGCCCTCTTGGGGGCCTCTTGGGCCCTCCTGGGGTGTCGGGAAGCCGAAAAGGTGGAAACGCCAAAATCTCTCCCCAGATCTAATCGCGCCTCTTCTTATTTCATTAATTACGTCCCGCCCCCCCCCCTGGGCCGCGCACGTGCCGCCGGCCATGATTTGCGCCCCCCCCCCCCCCCCCCTTGGACGCCTCCCTCTTGGCCGCCCCCGAGGGGGTGGGCGTCGCGCCGTAAAATGCTGGATCGAGGCGCTGCAGGCCCCAGAGCTCAACTCCCGCCGCTCGCTCGCGCAGCCTGCCCGCCCCGCAGGCTCTCCGGCGCAGCCGGCCGTTCGACGGTTCGTTCGGCTCTGCTTCAACGTCTCGATGGCGCGTAGGAGTGACCCTTCGCCGGGGTGACCTCCAGTGCGAGCTCGTCTGGGCCCCCCCGATCGCTGAGCGCGATGCGGTAGCGGCTGCTTGCACGCTTGGAGTTGGCCACGCTGCGCCCCCTTTCTGTAGTCCGCGCACCACAGGGTCCCTCTTGCCCATGGCCCCTCCTGCGTGCAGTCGACCCTCGCACCTCATCTGTGAGGGGAAGGGGCAGCGTTTGGGGGAGGGAGGAGGGGCTCAGAATGTTTAGAAGCTCGAGGTGCAAGGTTCTGGCTCGTTCTCGCAGGCTCGTGGCGGCCATCCGGCCTCGGGATGCATCCCAGGCGGCCGCGCCTCGCCGAGGGTGTCCCCCCAGGGGTGCCCAGGGCGCCCCGATAGCGGCCGCCGGGGAGCCGAGGTGTGATCCGGAGAGCAATCGGGGGCAGGGAGGGGGCGCGGGGGGTGCATCGGCCCTCAATCGCCCATGTTCACAGAAGGGAAAGAGACACACAGACACAATGAGTCGTCGAGGTCCCCCAGAAAAGAAGGGGCACATAATTAGGGGAAGTGGGGGGGAAAGACAGGCGCCCAGAAGAGATGGGAAGGTGTGGGGAATCTGTTTAGTTGTGTGTGTTTGTTTGTGTGTCCTGAGGCCCCTTCACATTTACCGCCCATTGGGGCCCGATAGCCCACCCCGCCCAGGAACGCGTGGATTCGCCATCGGGGGCCTAACCCCATCTACCAGCGATTTCTCACCGATTCCAGCTCGATGTTACCCCCCTGAACCGGTCCCCCCCCCTGCACATCAATCTGGCTCGTCCTTGTCGGAGGCCATGCATTTTTCTGTTCCTCCTGCCGTTGCCAACGCTTCCGTCTGCGTCTCTGCTTCCTCCTCTTCCTTCCCTTGCAACGTCCATCAGCTGTCCCCGTCATGTCGCCTCCTGGCCCTTCCTCGTCCTCCGCCTTCTCAGTTCCCCCTCCTCCTCATCCTTTGCCACCTGCTCCTGGCCGACAACATGTATACACATCCACTGCCTCCTGGCGGGGCCCTTCCTGGGCCCAGGAGCTGCGCACATGCCCTCCCGGCCAAGCCAAGAGGGCGGGGGCGTGACTGTCCACCGCTGCTGGGTTCCGTGTGGGCCTGGCCAGGGAGCAGTGGATGTGTATTGATGTCGTCGCCTTGTGCTCCCCCATCGCTCCACCCCTGCTCGCGGGTCGTTGAAAGCAGGTATTCTTGGATGCCCAGATCCCAATCTGCTTCAGCCGCCCTCCTTCTTCCATGAGTCGGGCGGCTTTCCCGCCTCCCTCGTCGTCACGGGGGCTGGCGGAAACCACATCTACTTCCGACGCCCTCCCACTTCCAAGTCTCTACCCGCTTCTTCCGACCGACGGGTGTGCTCTCCTTCTCCCCGTCGCTCTCCAGCGCCTGTCCATGCTCAAGGGTCTCCGCTGTTCTCGGCGCCGCGTCTCCTCCGCCCCCCTCGCCGCCGCGGCGCAGGTGGCCCTCGGAGCCGTCAAGGAGGAGGCGAAGCGCCAGGAGGGGACGGGTTTGATGGGCCGATGCTTTTTCTACCACCACCACCACCATCACCACTACCATCATAGAAGAAGCAGGAGGGGGCGGCGGAGGAGGAGGAGGAGGAGGAGGAGGAAGAGGAGAACGAGGAGGAGCAGGAGGAGTAGGAGGGCCGTCCTACCTCTGGTAGTGGTGGTGAACACATTGCCACTCGGGGCTGGGATCCAGAGCGCCGGAGAAGTAATAAACATAAACGTAAATTGGCGGCGCTCCGCACGGATTTTCTCTTGGATCCGCGCTGGACCTCCCCGGCGGCTTCCGGCGCCGCCCTAGCGCGCTCCGCGCGCCAGGGGCAGCGCGGATCCAAGAAATCTGCGCGGACTGTCGAAAGTTTATTTTTGTGCAGATGTTTGTTGTTCCTTTAGGGCATGAGGATGCCCCGAGGGCGGCGGCAGCCGAGGAGGCGGCGGTAGCTGGTGAGGGCCGGGGCAGACGTCGTGATGGCTCTGCGAGGGGGGGGGGCAGGGGGGGGGCGGGGAGGAAACGGAGGAGGAGGACAGGGGCCCAGGTCCTCCTCTTCGCCAAATCCCCTCTGGCAATCAACCCGCAGGGAGGGTCTCCACGAGAAGCGGCGACTGCAGCCACTATCAACAGTGGACGTCCAGCTTGTTTTATCCGAGATGCACTGGGCACACTTACGTGTTCCCTCATGTCCCTTTCGGTATGTTGCCTTGCATGTTTGCCAATTCGCTGCAACGGTGCCCCCGTTTAGTCAGCTCTGCCAGCGCAGACGACCCCTGCCTAGCCGCTGACACAACAGTCGGTATGTTGCCGCTGCTTCTGCCTTCCATGTGTGCCTTCCCCTCTCTACCAGGAGCTGCGCGGCCGTGGCATCCACATCTTGCAGGGAACAACCGAGCCTCTGTTTGCCGCAGGCTGCCCAAAGTGTTTGGCCATATCAGTGGTGCTCCGCTACGGAGTAGTTGTGCACTACCGCCGCCGTCATCGTCGCAAGGATCGCCGCAACCTCATTCAATTCTGGGGCGCCCATCGCAACTGTCGCCACCCTCGTGGGCTCTCGGGAAGCACGGCGGAGTAGCTGAGTACCCGTGACCTCGCAGTTCCATAGGGGGGCTGCGAACTGCGCATCTGTCCCATTTTCGTTGGCTTCTGGGAGGCACGTCGGAGTAGGGGAGTACGCGCATCCAGCCGAGACCTCGCGGCTCCCTGGTGGCTGCGACTTGCGCCATTGTCTCCATTTTCGTAGTTTTTGGGGAGTCCCAGCGGAGTGGGAGATCACGCAGTCCGAGCCGAGACATCCCGGCTCCCTGGGGGGTTGCGCAGAGCGCAATTGTTACCATTGTCGTGGGCTCCAGGGAGGTTCAGCGGAGCAGCGTGTCCTTGCAACTTGTTCTCTCGCATGGAGCGTTCCTCTAAATAGTCGACTCGCGTTGAGAAGGGGTTGGGAATGTATCGGGTAATATCAGGGCCCGAGCTAAACGGTGTGTTGGCAATTTTCGTGGGCCGTTTTCGCTTTGACTTCGTTTATTGCAGCAATTGTGGAACGAAGACAGAACTGGGGATGACGAAACCCACACGAAGACGGAAAACAGTGTCTAACTCGAGCCCTGGGCAATCTGTTTTCACTTTGGAAGGCGGTGGCCGCCCGGCTCCCGTGGACCCCCTCGCCGTGGCGCGAAGAGCACCGCGCCTCGCGCGTCGCGGCCCAGAGATGTCCCGAGGCGCGGCCTCGGCCAGGGTCGACGGGGGGCCGCGCGAGAGCGCGAGTACAGCATAGGAGGAAAAGGTACCGAGGCCGCATGTCGGGCGTGTCCCCCTACAGGGGGATGTTCGACGAACCATTTTAAAACATACCCCAAAAATGCACCAACAAGGTCAAACACATACTCGTTTTTTGCTGTTGTAAAATATTATGTTTGGCGAATGTTTTAGTGTTCGTCGAACATCCCCCTGTAGGGGGGACAGGCCCCCGACTTAACGCTACCCTTGCCTCGTTCTCGCCTGGTCGTGACCTCTGCGAGGCCTCCGTCGCAACAGCTGGCTTCGCTGCGAGATTCTGGCCAGAAAAGATCTCGGGAGGTGTCCTGGGAGTAGCGGTATCGGCTTCTCTTGGATTCCCCAAGAGAGTCGCGTTTCTTCTAGCCTCTAGCGCGAAGCCAGAAGTGGAGTGGCCGAGGTTTGCTTCCGTAGTGTCCATCGTGGTCGGAGCGGTCGTTTGCGCCGCGGAGGAGGGGGATGAGGAGGAGGACCAGTGCAAACCTAAGTCTCATGAACGATTCGGGGATATATCTTCCCCCAAGCTCCCTCTTCGCAGTCTCCTGCAAGGATTCATTTCCTCTGAGGGAAGCGCCCCGTTGGGAGACAACGTGCCAAAACAGCACTCGCAGGACTTCAGCGCCACGAGTCAGCCTGACAATTGCGTCTTGGCGGTTCTGAGTCGGGCCAGAACGCCATTCCTGCGACTTCAGCACCGCGAGTCCACGTAATTGTTGTGCCCTGACAATCCGGAGTCGCCCCGAAACGCAATTTCAGGCATGTGACCCAAGAGGAGCAGCGAGAGTCTAGGAAATGCTTGAGACGAATGTGTGCGGCGCTGAGACGAGAGCCACATCTTGAAAACGGACCACCCTCAGTCCGTGACACCTCTGCACAATTTTTTAGCTCGAGAGTGTGCCCGGCGCGGAGGCGAGAGCCGCGTGCAGAAGATCACGTGCCGTCCATACGTGAAGCCCTTGGAAATGCGAAAGCCTCCTCCCCCTCCTCCGCCTGGTCCTCCTCCCCCTCCTCCTCCTCCTCATCCTCCTCCTCCTCCTCCTCCTCCTCCTCCTCCTCCTCCTCCTTCTCCTCCTCCTCCTCCTCCTCCTCCTCCTCCTCCTCCTCTCTTTGCAGAGTGTGTAACGAATGTGCGGTGCGAGTGCCAGGGCCGCATTTTGCAAGCCACACGCCCTCCATGTGTGAAAAGGTCGTCAGATTTTAAGGTTGAGGCTCGTAGATGGTGAGGAAGTCTCAGGCGAAACGCCCGGCCCGTCCTTCGGACTGGCTTCTGGGTGCGACATGTATGAGTTATCCGTGAAGAAAAGGGATGGACGAGGAAAACGGGGAGGACGACGAGGGGGGGCAGGAGGAGGAGGACCAGTGCAAACCCAAGGCGCATCCACGATGTTGCAACCAATCCTTTCTCCTAGTTCCTTCGTCATGAGCCCCTCGAAGAATTTATTACCACTTTGGCAAATGTCCCATCAAACGACGAATCGTATGATAATCGTTTCACTTTCTTCGCTCCAACGCCGTCTGTGCAGGCCGTGCTGCTTTACGACAGCATGCGAGTACACACTCACTCCGAAACGAGTGGGAAATCCGGTTGCGCCCGAGAAAGTGTTCGAAGGGCGCATTCGTCTGCACTGCAGGAGGCTCCGTGCTCTATAGAAAGCATGGGCGTAAGACCAAGTACCCATCAGTTGTGGGGGGTTGCGCTGGAAAGCCATCAACACTACCATGTGAGAGTGTCCAACCCTGCCAAAACACATCGTGCCTAACCATCCTTAACCGTTCAAACAGAAGGTCTTGGGACCCCAACACAGCGAATCCACACGACAGTTGTGGCCTGACAGCATGAAACCGTGCCAGAGCACAATGTGTTGTGAGTTCAACCTTACGATGCCTTGAACCCGCTGCAAACTTCTAAGGCGAACGCGCGCGGCGCAAAGGCGAGAGCCACGTTTTGAAAAAGAGCTGGCTTCCAGGTGGTGCCCAACCATCCTGTGGTGTTTGAAGAAACGGTCCCCGCGTCTCCTCCTTCCGTGCCCCCTCCCCTAGCGGGGGTACCACATGCGTCCGCCACACCCAGTACAGCGCTTTGTGGCCCCATAGGGAGCTCCACCGAAGGCCCCACTGGGGGGGGAACCACATGCGTCCGCCACACGCAGTACAGCGCTTCGTGGTCCCATAGGGAGCTCCACGTAAGGCCCCAGTGGGGGTACCTCATGCGTCCGCCACACGCAGTACAGCGCTTCGTGGCCCCGTAAGGAGCTCCACCGAAGGCCCCAGTGGGGGTACCACGTGCGTCCGCCACACCCAGTACAGCGCTTCGTGGCCCCATAGGGAGCTCCACCGAAGGCCCCAGTGGGGGTACCACGTGCGTCCGCCACACCCAGTACAGCGTTTCGTGGCCCCATAGGAAGCCCCACCAAAGGCCCCAGTGGGGGGGGCACATGCGCCCGCCACATCCAGTACAGCGTTTCGCGGCCCCATAAGGAGCTCCACAGAAAGCTCCAGTGGGGGTGGCCGCATGCGTCCGCCACACCCAGTACAGCGCTTCGTTGCCCCATAGGGAGTTCCATCGGAGGCCCCAGTAGGGGTGGCCACATGCGTCCGCCACACCCAGTACAGCGTTTCGTGGCCAGTGGGACCACCCGCATGCGTCCCGCACACCCAATTTGACACTTCACCCGCCCAGTACTGCGCTTCGTGGCCCCATAGGGAGCTCCACCGAAGCACACAGTGGGACCGCCCGCGTGCGTCCCGCACAGGCAATTTGACATTTTCCCCCACCGAGTACAGCGCTTCGTGGCTCCATAGGAAGCTCCACCGAACCCCGCAATGGGACCGTCCGCATGCGCTCCGCACACCCAATTTGGCACTTTCGCCCACCCAGTATTGCACTTCGTGGCCTCATTTAAGCACCCAGTGGGACCGTCCGCATGCGTTCCGCACCCATCGCGGGCGATGTTTCTCCACCAATCCCCGAGTTTCGCCGGAAAAGTTCGGCCGCTCAGAAAAATAGGAAAACCATGGGATACACCCCAAGGTGCTATTCGGACTCACGCCGATCGAGGATGGACCCCCCCCATCGTATTTCCCAGGGTTGGGCCCAAAATTTCTGGTCCATTCGGAAACCCCACCAAGCTTGGGATAGGGGTCGACGCATTCCCTGTTAACCTACTTTAGTATTTTCACTCACCCAGTACAGCGCTTCGTGGCCCTATAGGGAGCTCCACCGAAGCCCCCAGTGGGACTGTCCGCATGCGTCCCGGAAGCCCAATTTGGCACTTTCACCCACCCAGTACAGCGTTTCGTGGCCCTATAGGGAGATCCACCGAAGCCCCCAGTGGGACCGTCCACATGCGTCCCACACACCCAATGTGTCATGTTCACCCACCCAGTACAGCGCTGCGTGGCCCCAATAAGGAGCTCCACCGACGGCCCCAGTGCTACCGCCCGCATGCGTTTCCCCCCACCCAGTGCAGCGCTTCGTGGCCCCATGGGGAGCTTCACCGAAGAAGATGTCCACTATTGCGGCACCCACAACTGCATATGGTTGGGTTTTTCGCCAGGATAATTGAAACTGAAGCGGCTTCAATTGTTTGAATGTAAAGGCGGTGTGTGGCGATTAAGCGAGAGCCACATGTTGAAAACGATGTGGGCTCCACCCTTGAAAACATAGCAAATATCAACGGGGAGGAATCATTTAGAACCTTTCCGTGTGTCGGGTTCCTAATTTGAATAAAGTACAGTGATCTGCACGTTCTCGTCCTCCCGCTTCCTCGCATTCCTCCTGCCTCATCCTGGGCTGCTCCCTGGGTGGTTGCGAACTACGCAACTGACGCCACTTTCGTGGGCTCCTGGGAGGCACAGCGGAGTTGCGGATTACGCAAGACCTCGCAGTTCCTCAGTGGATTGCAAACTACGCAAGTGTCTCCGATTCCGTGCACTCCTGGGAGGCACGGCGGAGTCGCAGAGTACACGAGATTGTTCAGTTCTTTTGAGGGATGCGAATTGCGCGTCGCCACTCGTGGGCTCCTAGGCGGCATGGCGGAGTCGGGGTCGCGGAGCACCCGCGACCTCGCAAATTTTCTAGTGGCTGCGAACTGCGCAGTTGTCACCGTTTCCGTGGGCTTCTGGGAGCTCCAGCGAAGTCGGGGGCCATACGCACCCATTTGAGACTCCGTTGCATCTTTGGTGTGCTGCGAGCTGCACATCTGTCGGCACTTTCGTTTGCGCTTGGGAGGTCCAGCGGAGTCGAGCACCACGCGGATCCAGCCAGGACCTCGCGGTCCCCCGGGAGGCTGCGCAGGGCGAATTTGTCGCCATGTTCGCGGGCTCGCGGGAGGCACGGCGGTAATGAGGGCAGCGCAGATCGTGCATAGCTGGCGACGTGTTCTTCTGTACGGAGCGTTCATGCAAGTGTTCGCCTCGCGCGGAGAAGGCGTGGGGGGCACGTCTCGGGCAATTCGGGAGGAAGAGGGGCAGGGGAGGAGCACAGGGGAGCAGGGGGGAGGAGGAGGGAGGAGGAGAGGAAGGAGAAGGGAGGAGGAGGAGGAGGAGGAGGAGGAGGAGGAGGAGCAGGAGGAGGAGGAGCAGGGGGAGGGGGATGTGGGAGGAGCAGGCGGAGGGCGAGGAGGGGTAGGGAGGCGTGAGCGCTCGGCAGAGGGCGACGGGCCTCGCCGCCAACCGCGCGCGGTCCACGGCCGCGCGGGTTGGCGGGGGACTCGGACTCCGCCTGCTGAGCCCGGGACCCCCGACCGCGAGGTGAAAGACGACGACGACGACCGAGGTCCAAGATCGAGTTCGGTTCGGCTTGCGCAGGGACTCCAAGAAGCCTGAGAGCCCCCCAGCCCGCCGTTGCTTGAGCTCTTCCGCGCCGCCCCCCTTAGCAGCCAGTTGCCGGTTCGTCCGAGGCTGATCTGCGTGGGGGGAGCGCGCGCGCGACGGCACCGTTTTCTGATCTCTTCTGCGCATTGCCGTGGCGCAGGAAAACAAAACAAAAAAAAAAAAAAAAAATCGAGTTCGGTTCGGGGGAGGGTGTCCCACTGTCGTCGGTTTCTGTCGGATGTGGTTGCGCGCATCTTGGGGATGGTGCCCTCGGATGTGCGGTGCGTTTCTGGCCAGCGGGGGGTCTCGTGTTCTTGGAGGACGTTCTCCTGTCCCAGGTCCGACTGTACACTGCATCTTTGTGGGCCCCGGAAGCGGCAGGGCCGTTTCTTCACCGTTTCCAAAAAAAAGTCCCTTGAAAATGGAAGCGGCAAAAAAAAGGCGACTGGAAACGGCAAAAAAACGGCTCCAGGAAAGGAACCCGAGCCGGAACCGGTCAAAAAACAGGGACGGAACCGGTAAAACAACGGCGCCGGAATCGGCAAAAAAACGGCAAAACGGAACCGGTAAAAAAACGGCTTTGTCGTTTCCAGGGCCTTTCAAGCCTCAGGCCACGACGGCCAGCGAACCAACAGGCCCCACCACCACGCCGCCGGACACGCCTCGTCGACGGGCCACGCCGTGTGCCAGAGACTCGGGCCGCGCCAGAGCCGTCGAGCGTCGGCCGAGGCTGCGGAGGAGGAGGGGGATCCAGGCCTCCCAGATGCGGTCAGAGTAGATGGGGTCGCCGATGCACCGCCGATGCGGCTCGATGTGGAGCCCGACGTTCTCCACTCCGACGGCGCCGGGGCGTCGCCGACGTCGCCGACACGTCTCCGATGCGGCGGGATCCTCGGATGTGGGAGGCCTCCGATGCAGCGCCAACACACCGCCGATGCATCGCCGACGCGGCGCGACCCTCCGACCCCTTTTCTCGGGCCACATCTGTCGAGTAGGGGATCGATATATTTACCCCAGAATTGATGTTCTTCGCCGAATCCACGAGAGATGAGTACACTTGTCGTCGATCTACGAACCCTTCTACGTGCGACTCAACGAGAAACTCAACTTTGGGGTGGATCAATTCTGCAGTCGAGTTGGGAGGCATCTGGAGAAAGATCGGGAGGGAAAATCACAGATAAAATGCATCGTCGATTCCCAGGAAAGTATAAGAAAATATGGGAATGGGTGGGGAAAGACGAAAACACAGGAAATTTACAAAAATAGGGGAGGATCATGGGATTTCTGTGCATTGACTTTGGATCCCTGAATAATCGGACCCCCCTTCCTTCACTACATAATTTTCCGGACCCCCTCTCCGCAGAGGGCGCCGTAAAATTCCTGACCCCCCCAGGAAACATTTCGAGCGCGATCGTTCATGACGGTGGTAACCTCGGGGATAACGGTGACGGTAAGTAGACGCTGTTGCCAACGTGGAGGTTGGACCGCATTGTTGAGTAACGTGATGGGCGCAAGGGCTACTAGCATCCATGCTCTCCCGCAGAGTATTTGCGAGGCGCAAGGAACCCCAGGAACGATAAAGGCCCGACCCCCAACAAAGCAAGCCACAAAGTGCGAGGAGCCCCACTTATGTCGAAAACCCATATGGTTCTAACGGCCAGGGTGCGTGAGGGTGGTGAGACATTGCATGCGCAACAGGCGCCCGGATAAACCAGACCCCCCGGAACGTCGGCTCCAAGAAAGCGCCTCAATCAACCGGGACCCCTTTGCCTCCCCAAAATTTGGTATCGCTCGGACGTGTGCTCTTTTTCTCGGCGGGGATTATTAAGGAGAAGCCTGGATCAACCTGTGAGAAACCACGCACGAAACCGGAAAAAAAAACACAGGGAATGCACGTCCGAGCGATGGCCAGAACAAGGCGCCTTGAAAAACCGGATCCGAGGGACTATATTCAGGGATCCGGAGTAATATGTGTCCCTGGGACCCCTTTACAGATCTAGGCCTCCTAGATGGGGTCCGAGTAGATGGGGTCGGAGGATCGCGCCGCATCGTCGACGCATCAGCGATGTGCGGCTCCCTGCGGACCCCGATCTCCTCCACGCTGGCGCCGCCGATGCCTCGCCGATGCATCGCCGATGCCTCGCCGATGCCTCGCCGATGCCTCGGCGATGCCTCGGCGATGCGGCGCGATCCTCCGACCCCGTCTGCTCCGACCCCACCTGGAGGCCCTGACACTTCCCCGAGGAGAGGAGTGAGGGGAGGAAGAAGAGTAGGAGGATGAGGAGGAGGAGGAGGAGGACCCCACCCTGAGGCCCCTGACACTTCCTCCCCGGAGGAGGAGGAGTGAGGAGGAGGAAAGGAGGAGGAGGAGGGAGGAGGAGGAGGAGGAGGAGGAGGAGACCCCACCTGGGAGGCCCCTGACACAAGGGGGGGGGGGGGGGCCCAGAGCGCGGCGCGCCGGCCAGGGCGACAAGGCGGAGCGCATCTGCGCCGACCTGCGCGCGGAGGCCGCCGCGCTGGAGGAGCGGAGCGCCACGAGGCTGAGGCCCGCTCCTCCTCCTCCTCCTCCTCCTCCTCCTCCTCCTCCTCCTCCTCTCCTCCTCCTCCCTCCTCCTCATTCTCCTCCCCCTCCCCCTCCTCATCCTCCTCCTCCTCCTCCTCCTCCTCCTCCTCCTCCTCCTCCTCCTCCCCCTCCTCCTCCTCCTCCTCCTCCTCCTCCTCCTCTCCTCCTCCTCCTCCCCCTCCTCCTCTTTCCTCCTCCGCCTCCGCCACGAGCAGCGAGGGCCCGGCTCGCCGTGGGCCGGGCAGCGGCGCAGCGTCCCGGCTCGCCTGGAGGCCCACCGAAGAATCGGGGGCGGAAAAGAGGGGGGTGGTTGCTAGGGGGGGGGGATATCATGGCGGGGGCCATGATATTTCCCCAGATCTCGTGGCGCCTCCTCTTGTTTCATTACTTCCCTGGCCCCCCCGCTGGGCCGCGCACATGCCGCCGGCCATGATTTGTACCCCCCCCTCTTGGACACCCCCCTCTTGGCCGCTCCCGAGCGTCCCGGCTCGCCTGGAGGCCCACCAAAGAGTCGGTCGGGTGTTGCCAGAAGTACCCTTGGCCCAAGGTGCCCCCAGGATTCTCGGGGTGGCCCAGGCGGCCTCCAGGGCACCCCTCACGAGGCCCAGAAGACCCCAGGGGGCTCCAAGATGGTGCGAAAAGCTGGGGGCACCTTGGGCCAGGGGCACTTCTAGCAACACCCGAATCGGGGGGCCCAAACGGGGCGGTGACCACACCGTGCAGTAAGTCGGTGGGAATTCGGGCTCACCGCACGGTTTTGGGACTCGGGTCGTTCTCCGAGGACGTTTCGGGCGACTGGGGCATCCGAGGTCCCAAAACCGTGCGTTGACGGACCGTGCGGTGAGGTCTTGGGGGATTTCGAGGTCACCGCACGGTCTGTCATCGCACCGCTTCGAGACTAAAAACAATGTTCTGGGAGCCCCTTGTGGTTTGCACGGAGTGTTCTTAGAACATGTCTGGCTGAGCTTGTCTTGTTTTCGCACATCGGGCTCATGTTTTCAGAGAACAGTGTGCTCGTTCGTAGAAGATGTTTGCCAAACAAGTTCGAACAACAAAACCAATGTTCTTAGAACATTGTGTGGTAGGCCTACAGGAATGCCTTGGACGGTCGGTCCCTGCTCATTTGGGGGAACCCAGAGGGATCCAACGCATTGAAAAAATCAAGGCGGAGGTGTTGCACAGGTTTCGGCCTCTAGGGGCCCTCGCTGGGCCCAGGGTACCGTTAGAAAACGATTCAGGATGAAAAACGGGTCCTGGGGAATGGGTAACCCACTGCCCCCGATAATAAATCATCCCCCCCATTTGTCCCATCTATGTTTGTATCCCGTGCCAGTAGGATTTAATTGTGGAGAGGGGCGCGGAGGCCGAACTTGATGATCCCCGGGGGAAGTTGCGAATCGAAGTTGCTATCATCTCATGTTGATTCGCAACAGCATCAAAAACGCTGAGCATGACCATGGTGGTCTCACCATATCGGCTTCCACAATCACGAGCGTGTGGCAGGGCTGTGGGATTCTCACCATCTCAGTTTGCCCAAGTGACGAATGTGCGGCAGGGCCATGGGATTCTCAGTTTCTCATCCGTTCCCGACTTAGGAACGTGTGGCAGGGCCCCGGGGGAGGTTGCGAATCGAATCGAATCGAAGTTGCGCAGGCAAGTTGTAGCCACGAGCCTCGGGATCTCTCGAGTCAATCTTGTGCCACGATCTAAAAAGGTCGTCTACACGAGCGCCCAAGATCATCATAATCATCATCATCATCATCATCATCATCATCATCATCATCATCATCAGCATCAGCTTCAGCATCAGCATCAGCATCAGCATCAGCATCGTCATCAGCATCATCACCATAACTTAACTAACAGCACTTTCCCCGGGAAACTCGTTGATTATCCCCCCTAGCCCCTTCATTATCCCACCAGGACTATTCTCGGGAGCATTCGTTTAGAGATTTCTGGGGACCGCGTGTTTCAAATAACGACATCAGATGTCTGAGGGGCCCTCTTGGGCAGTTTTGGGGCCTTCTTGGTGGCCTCCTGGGGCGTCTTCGGGCGATCATGGGGGCCTCCAGGGCCGTCTGGGAGCGTCAGGCCAGAAAAAGCGAGAATGCCGAGAACCTTCAAAAACCTATAGGAAATCAGTGACGTTGGCCTCGTGGGTCCCTCGCGGGAGGCTTTTCTTGGGCCGTCTGGGGACCATCTTGAGCGTCTTCGGGGCCTCTTGGGGCTCCCTTGGCTGGGCCCTCTGAAGCGGGAAGATGCGAGAAGATGCCCCGGAGCCCAGGGGAATCGCTCCAGGCCCAAGAAGATTTGAGAATTTGGGGCCAGGGGCCCTTACGAACCCTCAGGATCGAGGACTGCGACGCAGGGGATTCGGCAACGAATCCGAGGACGCCCACTCCGTGCCAGGCGGCACGGTGGCGAATAAGTGAGCTAAAGCTTCTGCTGGGGCACCAAGGGTGAAGTCAGGCAGGCAGGCCGCACCAGCCAGGCAGTCGAGGGAGCGAGTACAGGGAGGGAAGGAGGGAGGGATTCGGTGGCAAATCATGGGAGCTGGGAGCTGCGTGTACCCTCGTGGCTCCGTCTTCGTAGCGCAGTGGCGTCGACTGGCGTCTGGTGGTCGATGAGATGGCGCCGATTCAGCGTCGATTGGCGTCGATTTAGCGCTGATGAGGGTCAACGGTCGCCGATTCGCAAAGGCCAGCGAGATGGTATGGGAGGCGCCCATGAGATGCCGCCGGACAAGGAGGGAGCGAGGAGGGAGGGGTTCAGCCCTCCCACGACCCGATCTTGTTCTCCGTGTGACGTGGGCCCCCAGACCTCTCCACCCCTAGGGAGCCAGATGCGAACCCTACCCATACCCCCCCACGATTTCTGAGGGGGAGGGTGGGGTTCACTTCGTTCGGGAGCTCCCGAGCGGAGTGAGCCCCACCCTCCCCCTCAGGAATCGTGGGGGGCAGGGGTAGGGTTCGCATGTGGCCCCCTAGCCCCTCCCCCGGGGGCTGGTCGAAGGCCGGGAGGTCGGGGGCAGCGTGGGGGGCGGCCGCGTGCAGGAGGAGGAGGAGGAGGAGGAGGAGGCGGAGGAGGAGGAGGAGGAGGAGGCGGAGGAGGAGAGGAGGAGGAGGAGGGGGAGGAGGAGGGGGGCCAGGGGGTTCGAAGTCCACGGCCTTCGTCGGCTCTTCTCCTGCCTCGGGGGCGCCCTCTGGCGGCCGCGCCTCGCCGAGGGCGTCCCGGGGGGCCCGGGTCGTCCCGAGCGGCCGCGGGAGGCCCGAACCAGGGCCCGGGAGCCGAGGGCCAACGACAGGTAGGCTCAAGTCGGGCACGTCCTTCTACAGGAGGAGTACAGTGGGGGCGCGCATCCAGAAACCATCTACTTTTCGTCAGGGTACCCTGGGCTTCTTCGCTCCGCGCGATGCGCGGTGACTTCCCGCGGCCGTTGAAGAAGCTGCTGCGTGCGGGGTGCTCCAGGTTTCCCCTCACTTGCACCTCGCGCGCGGGTTTTCAGGGTTGGGTTTCTTGCGAGGGTTTCTTGCGGCCGCGCCCGCACTGTAGTCAAACATGGTCAAAAGATAGTCTGGGGATGCTTTTGCTGGTATGTCGGATTGTTTGTGAAGCTGTCTTGGCCATATGCTGTTCGCCGCAGATCCGCCTGCAAGGGACATGCCCGACCTAAAGGTCGGCCCAAGGGGGGATGCGTCGACCTCTGATCGCCCACTGATCGCCGAGATTCCCTGCCGGGGGCCTGTCGCCGATCTATGGGCGATGTGTCGCCGATCCCACGTCGATGTTCCCCCCTTCGGCGAAGTCTGCGCCTGGCCTGTTTGGCGCTCCTTTCTCACACCCAGTATCCGCTGCAATATACAGCCTTAGCTCGAGATGCTATACTGCGCGCCAGGAAGAGGATGACGGGGAGGAGGAGGACCAGTGCAAACCCAAGACTCCTTAACTCGGACTCCCACTTCGTAAGCCCCTAAAGGATTCGTTTATCACTGAGGGAAGTGCCCCGATGCCAGACAACTGTCTGAAAATCTGGAACTGTGCCACAACACCATTGCTGGGATTTCAACGCCGCGAGTCATCGTCATTGTTGCGCTTTGACGATCCTGAATCGCGCCAGAGCACCATTCCAGGGACTTGAACAGCGCGAATCAACGTGACTGCTGCGTCCTCGCATTCCGACATCGCGACAAAACACACGTTCTGGAACGTTATCCATGAAAATCCTTGAAGCCGCTGCGAACGTTTCACACAGATGTGCGCGGCGTTAAGGCGAGAGCCAAATTGTGAAAAGGAATCGCCCTCCATCTTTGTGAGGCACATGCGTTTAGGAACAATTCAAACAAACAAGAAACAATGAATGTGCGCGGCGCCAATGCGAGAGCCACATTTTGAAGGCGGTCCGCCCTCCATCTGTGAAAGAAACTCTTGCACTGTTCGAAGACGATTGTGCGCGGCGCTATGGCGAGAGCCGCATTTTCAATGCGGACCGCCCTCCATAGTGAAACGCTTGCAAACCTCAAGCTTCTTGATCAGACGTGGTGAGGAAGTCTCAGGCGAGACGCCCGGCCCGCCCTTTCGACCGGCCTCGGGGCGTGTCAGGGACGAGGCATGCTTAAAAAAGAGGGGAGAGGGGAGAAGGTGGGCGAGGAGGAGGAGGAGGAAGAGGAGGAGGTGGATGAGGTGGGGGAGAAGGAGGAGGAGGAGGAGGAGGAGGAGGAGGAGGTGGAGAAGGAATTGGAGGAGGAGGAGGTGGAGAAGGAGGAGGAGGAGGAGGTGGAGGAGGAGGAGGCGGAGGAGGGGGAGGAAGAGGAGGAGGAGCCGCCTCGGCGCGGCGGGCGGAGGTGCGGGCGCTCGAGCCTCAACGCCCGGGGGGACCCGTCGCGGTTCGCGGGGCCCACAGGGGGCCACCCGCGGCACGAGGTTCGCACATCAAGGGAGGGGGGAGACCGTCCTGACGCCGCTAGCTGGCGGGTCCTGGGCGATTTCCTACACGGCCTGCCCCGTTGGATTCTTTTCTCTTGGGCGCGCTCACTCAACGGATTCGCTCGACGGGGTGCTTATTATGATGGTCCTCAGTGGGCCCCGGAAACGACAGGCCCGTTTTTTTACCCGTTCCGCTTTTCCGTTTTTGTTGCCGGTTCCGACCCCATTTTTTAACCGGTTCCGGCTCCATGTCCAATCCTGGAGCCGTTTTTTTGCCGTTTCCGGTCGCCGTTTTTTTGCCGTTTCCATTTTCAAAGGGGACTTTTTTGGGGAAACGGTGAAAAAATGGCCCTGCCAGGGGCCCACAAAGGTGACGATACCTCGATCAATTTTTTGATGGGCTTGTGTTTGTTTCTGCTGTCTCGTACAAAGGGATGAAGTCCAGAGCTTCCGGGGCTGCCACGCAGGGCCAGGACCCAGGGCTGGCCTCGTGGCGGCAGGAACCTGCTGCAGGTTGAGCATCAGAAGAGGCAACGGTGACGACACAGTCGGGGCGCTGAAGAAGGAACCCTTTTGGTTGGGGAGGGGCTCCGTGTTCCTTGATTGTTTCACAGCTCGCTTAGGTTTTCCTTAGGTTTTCGATGGGAAATCGAACTTTAACTGATGGGAAAAAGGGGCCTCGTTCCTTATTTAGGGTTCCTTAGGTCAACGCCCCAACTGTATTGAGCATCAGAGGAAACGGTGACGATACCTCGATACGTTTACCTTTGTCTCGTTGACAGTCGGCCCAGATTAGTAGATCGACCCTGCCAGGTCAAGGGTACCCTTGTGTCCTGTGTCTCGCGGCCCATGCTTCCCACATTCCTGTGGCAATGTGGCCCGCGGAAGGGTCTTGCGTCCTCTCGCGTGTCCTGTCCAATCGAGTCCGACTGTACGCCTTGTCTGGCCTCCCGGGAGGTCCCAGTCTCCACCGCTGGACTCGCCGCGAAAGCCTGGGTCTGGTCAGAACGCACCTCGGGAGAGGTTCAGGGCAGGCGTGGGTTCGAGAGGGAGGAGAGCGGAGAAAGAGAGATAGAGAGAGAGAGAGAGATTGAGAAAGAGAAAGAGCAACAAAAGCAGAGAGAGAGAGAGCGTGGGAGAGATAGATTGGGGGCTGGACAAGTTGGGTTTGGGTTGTTTTCTGTGTTCGAGAGGGAGGAGAGC